TCACAACATACAGGACATCCCACAGCAGTGGTCTTCCTGATAGGTTTCTGTACCCTGATAATAGGTTTCTTGGCCAATGCTGAAAGCCAGACGAAGCCAAATTCAAAGTAAAAGACCAGGTATATTTGAGCAAAGCACTCCCTTGTGACTCTCCAGCCCCCTGAGATGAGGTGGGGGAAGACTGCTCTGAAGGAAGGAGCTTAAACACCCTGTAGGCATGGGGCGATGGCATATCCTCCACAAGCTGGGTTTGTGCCCCATCATGGTATGTGGAGTCTTGAGAAGCTAGCAGCCTCTAGGAGGAGCTGCCACTGCTAGGAATTCAGAAATGGACTCCCTGCAGCTTTTCTGGAGGCTGGGGTTTGGAGAGGGAGGAATGGCCAGATCAATCAGGGGTGAGCTGGAGATTCCAGCCAAACACTTCCTACCTTCCATACCACAGCTGGAAATCAGAATGAAAAGACCCCCAAATTTCTCTTTCTTACAGATACTCAGGAAGTCCCTCCCAGTGAGGTTCTGTAATGGTTCAGAGCAGGCTGCTACAGTTTGAACAATTTTATGTATCTCTTCTCTGCCCCCCCCCCTTGTCCTTGCATTCTCAGGAAAACTTTTGAAGTATAATATGCATACAAAATATTACACCTATTACTTAAATATTGCTCAATGAGATAAGTGAAATAAACACACAGTAGCTGTATTAAACCCCCCAGGCTCAGAGAACATCGTGGAAGAGTCCGGGCTGAAAGAATGTTAGAACTGGAAGGTGGGGAGGAGTGTTGTGAAGTGCTGGCTTCTGGATACGGCATGGCTGTTGCACCTGTGTACTCACAGCAGCTGTACTTACGTATCCTGAAAATCAAGCCAATAAAACATCCCAGCATGGAGTGGGGATGGGCTCCCGAGGCCACGCCAACGGCAGAGAAGCTATTGGCAGTCCATAGCTGTTGAGCAATGGAGAGTCACTTTCCTTTCTCTTTCTCTTTAAAGATTTATTTTACTTTATCTATCTGAGTATTTTCTTCGTGTGCATTTGTGCACCATATGCATGCCCGGTGCCCACAGAAGTCAGATGGTGGCATTGGATTCCCTGGAACTGGACTCACAAATGGTTGTAAACAGCCACGGGGGCGCTGGAAATTGAACCCAGGTCTTCCAAAAGAGCAGCGAGTGCTCTTAACTGCTGAGCCTCTCTCCAGCCCTGTGCAATGTGATTTGATATTTGTGGTTTGATACTGTGACAGGATCGTTGGCCACAGCATTAGAAAAATTAATGTTGAATCTGCAGATAATACTAAGTTGGTACAGTGCTTACTTAGCATTCACAAATCCTCAAATTTCATCCCCAGTACCAAATAATCCAGGCATGGTGGTATATGTCTGTCATCCCAGCACTCTGAAGATAAAAGCAGGAAAATCTGTTCAAGATCATCTTCAGCTACCTAGAGAGATCTAGGCCAGCTTGGGCTACACGAGACCATAATTCAAATTAAAGAAGAAATGAGAAGAAGACAGAAAAGAGAAAAGAGAGGTGAGGATGGGAGGGGAGGGACAGAGACGGGGAGAAGAGAAATTTGATAAATTTTCTAAGAAACTCTCTCCTTTCCTCCCTCCCTGCCTCCCTCCCTCCCTCTCTTCCTCCCTTCATCCTTCCCTGCCTCCCTCCTTTCCTCCCTTTCTTTCTCCTTTCCTCCCTCCCTGCCTCCCTTCCTCCTTCTCTTCCTCCCTCCCTCTTTCTTCCTCTCCCCCTCCCCTCTCCTTCTCTCTTATCTCTCGCTCCTTCCTTCCCTCCCTTGCTCTCTCCCCCACCTCAAGAAATGCCCCCGGAGGTCATAGTTGCATGAATTTACAATATAAGAATCATATGTTGTGTCTACATTCACAAACTGCTGTAGTCTAAAATTAAAATGCAAAAGACCTGAGTTTGATTCCTAGCACCTATATCAGGTATCTCACAGCCACCTATAACTCTATCTCCAGGGCAATCTGATACCGATTTCTAGCCTCCACAGGTACCTGCATCCATAAGCACATACAGACATACACATACACATAACAGCAATTGATAAAAAAAAAAGTAAGTCTTTAAAATTAGCAAGTTTTATTGTACACATACATATTTATACATACACACATTTTTTTTCTCTGTAGAGGCCAATTGTTAATCGTTTTCCAGCATGCCACAATATAGATAGCACATATGTTTTTGGAATCCATAAGAGTCATGTTTAAACCCTCGCTTCCTCACTACTCATGCGACTTCAGTCCAATTGCTTTTCTCTTCAGACCTCCATTTTCTTCAGCCTGGCTGCTATCTATCATAACTATCACTGGAGATCTTTCAAATACAGCTTATAAATACTGAGGGCGCAGCCAGGACCTTAGCATGAATCACAACCACCATCAACATTAAGCAAGCTTCCACCTGCTGGAGACAACCTGTTCTTGCTCTGTCTTCTGGATCCTCTGAGCCCCGACCTCACTGCACTAACACTTCCCATATCCTCCTGTCTCATTCTCATGCTTTCTTGTCATATCTGTTTAGGCCAGTGACTTTCAACCTTCCTAATGCTGCAACCCTTTAATACAGTTCCTCATGTGATGGTGACCCCTAACCATAAAATTACTTCATTGTTAACTCATAACTGTGATTTGCCTACTGTTATGAATCATAATGCAAATATCTGATATGCCAGATGTATTTTCACCATTACAAATTGACCCAAAGGGGTGGCAACCCACAAGTTGAGAAATGCTGGTTAAGGCAATCAACAATTCGGAGGATTATTCTGAAATCTTTGGACTTGGGGTTTGGGGGAAAAGAAACTTCCCTGTGATCCATTTTGGCCTTGAGAACCTTAGAGGAGGAAGATCTCTGTGAATGGTCCAGGGAAAAGGTCAGAGACTGGTTCACACTTAGAAATATTTTGTCTCACACTTTCGAAACCAGAAGTCTGAAACTGAGGTTTCACCAGAGTTGGTTCTGCTTTGAAATCTCTGTGGGGAAAAACCACACCCCTTCCCTAGCTGCAGGCCCCTTCTGGGCAGTTCCACCACCTCTCCTGGGTGGAAGCCTGAATCCACAGGGCCTCAGAATGTCACCTGTTTGCATACTGGACCGTTGCAGATATAGTTATTTAAGTTAAGACTGCATCACACCAGGGAAGGGTAGAGCTGTAATCCAGTATGGCCGGAATTCTTATGTAAAGGGAAATCTGGACATTCACACACACACACACACACACACACACACACACACACACACACACACAGGAAAAACAGCATGTGCTGAAGAAGCGAGGAACCTTGGGAAAGACTGTCAACATGCAACAGCTGAGTTATGGGCTTGGAACAGATCCTCTCTCACAGAGTCAGGGGAACCAGTTCAGCTAACACCTTAATCTTGAATTTATAACTTCCAGAACTGGGCAGTAGCAACTTTCTGTTGTCTCACCAGCCTTCGTTACCATGGAAGCTATAACAAATGAATACGCTTAGCTCATAGATGCGTCACAGCTCAGCCTGTCTTCCCGTCATCGCTTTCTCGGCAAGTGTCGGCATTTAGGACCCACCCTGCACACAGGATGAGTTCATCTCAGAGTCCTTAACTTCATTATGTCTGCAAATGGGACCAGTGTCCTCAGATTCTGGGCAATGAAACTTAAAGCTAGCTTTGGGAGGCCATCAACTGGCTTACTACATACCGAGGTCGTTGTATATTCTGTGATGTAATCTTTGTTCCAAGAGTCACAGCAGAGAAATTGAGGCTCAGAGAGAATGTCATATACTCTCTGATGTCATATGCATATTCAGATTGGAGGTGGTGTTCTAGTTTGATACTTACTACTCAAATAGCCCCCACTTATGCTCTCATAGCATTTATTCCATTACCCTTTCTCTCCTCCCCTTTCCCTGTGCACCCCTAAGATCTTTTATACCCTCTCCTACCTCCAAGAACTTCTGGATTTCTCCGTGACACTGAATATAACAGAGTCTTGGTTTCTTTTTCTGTAAAATGGGCATTATATCACTTCCCTAGGATATTTCTGGAGGATGCTAAATCAGAAATTGGACCCAGATCAATGTCATTTATAAATTAATACACTGGATTATGCTATTTTTACCTCAGGACCCATTTTCCCTAGTCATGTGATCTCCACATTTTATAGCACATGAAGAGTTCTGGGGTTCCACGCTCACAGAAACATAAAACAGAAGTTCTTTAATCTGAATCTTAACAAATGTAACAGAGCTTTAGATGATTTAGGGATGCAGAATCAAGAGCACTGGCTGGTCTTCTAGAGGTCTTGATTCAGTTCCCAGCATCCACATGGTGGCTCACAACCATCTGTAATTCCAGGTCCAGGGAATCCAATGACCCCTTCTGGCTTCTGGAGGCACTGTACTCAGGTACACATGCACACACAAACACACACACACACACACACACACACACACACACACACACACACACACATATATATATATATATAATACTTTTTTTAATAGCTACTTTGGATCTCATAGGGTGATATGCAAAATTGTTAGATAAGAAATCAAGAGCTGCTGGGACTGTGCCTCATTTGGTAGGGGATTAGTTAGCATGGGTGAAGCCTTGAGTTTGATCCCTAGCACCTCGTGAACTGGGCAAGGTAGTGTACATTTGTTATCCCAACACTCTCTGGGGAGTAGAGGCAGGAGGATCAGTAACTAAAAGTCTTTGGATATACTGAGAGTCTGAGGCCAACCTGGCTATAAGATACCTGTCTCAGAGAAGAAAGGAAGGAAGGAAGGAAGGAAGGAAGGAAGGAAGGAAGGAAGGAAGGAAGGAAGGAAGGAAGGAAGGAAGGAAGGAAGGGGAAGGGAAGGGAGGGAGGGAGGGAGGGAGGGAGGGAGGGAGGGAGGGAGGGAGGGAGAAAAAGAGAGAAACAGAGAGGGGGGAAAAACTTTCTTTTCTGATGAATAAAAAAGGAAATAAAAAAGCAGACATAAATGTTCCTAGGTATGGTGGAGGAGGTTTATTGTAGATAGAAGAGAGATCATAGCAGATCCCCCCCCAGAGGCAGGGACATCTCAGAGAGTCCAGAATGAACACGACCCTGAGCCATACCATGTGAGAAGAGGAGGAAGAGGAGAGGGGAGAGCAAGGAGACCAAGGAGGGTAAAAGGTAGACAAAAAGGGTCAGATAACCAAAATGGCAGGATTATATAGGAAAGAGTAGCCCTGTTTCTGGACTGGAGAAGTCTAGGGTAGGGGGCAGGTATGCCAACCATACACTGTAACAAGTAGGCACTGAGGGATGCTGGGAGAACCTAGAGGCCAGGTTCACTTTGATATGTTATATAGGCACCTCAGTTGGCCATTTGTCCTGGGTTTGGGACCTAGCATCCTAGCCTTCTTGTTGACAATAACAGATCAGGGGTGGTGTGATCTTTTTATGATTTACTTCCTGCTGACACCGAAGCATCTTTGTTGGGGACCCAAGAAAGCTAGAATCCTGGACAAGGCTAGGAAGAAAGAGAGAAGGGAATGCAGGCTGTTTCATTTGCTGTCCAGGCTCTGTGGAACCATCCGGGGCCAGGGAAGTCCAGGCCACATTGGAGCAGTCAGTATGGTGGACCACCTGGGGCTAGCTGCTTTGGAGCCCTCTAGGATGTAGCTCACCTTTTTGGAAATTCCATCAGAAGAACCTAGGGCTGGTGAGTTTGGAGCAGTTTGCAGTCTTTAGTTGATTGGGAATCTGCTGGGACAGATATAGATTAGAGACCGAAGGTCAAGTTGACATTTGAATTTCAGAAATAATCAAACAGTAGACAAATTAGCAGAAAAAAAGACAATCACCTTTGTTCCAGGCATACCCAAGGAGGCATCCTGAGAATGAAAAGTGAGTATCCTATAAGATTTAGAATTGTATATGCCCTTCCTTATAGCAAAATGGAAGTGAAGGCTGTAGGCCATTTAGAGGAAGAGAAAATGACTTTCACAGGACATGAGGATTCCTGAAGGGTAGACAGTGTTGAGGAAGAACACTTACCTAATCTTCAGTGTGGCTCTCATCCCTCACTCTCTTCTCTGATGATAGTTTAATTTTCCTTGGTTGATGAAATAACAGAGGAGTTTGTGTATAATTGTATTCCTTTCTGGTAGAGTCTGTCTTTAGGCAGACAAGGGAAGCTGGAATAAAAGCCCTACCTACTCTGTTACACTGACACTGTGTGCAATCCAAAGTGATGGTTTTGTGTTATTTTTCAAATCTCAACCATAGAGAAGAAATGATGGCAACACTATTTCCCTTTTTCTGTCTCAATGGAAATGTCATTGTTGTGACTTTGGACCACTGTCCTATGGGTAACTAAAGCATTGCCACAAATGAGGCCTCTAGGTCTCTGACCTAGCATCTTCTGCTTGGTCCTTCCCATGCACCCCTTTTAAGGATCCATTGTCTATGCTGCAAACTCTCTGGCTAGTCCCTAAAACATTCCAAGATTCCCACTGAGCAATCTCCTCTAGTAGCCCTGGGAAGAACGGCCTCCTTACCCCACACTCTAGAAGTGAGAATGATGAGTCCAGGAACTGAGGCTGTCCACATACATAAACATAGTGACTAGATCCTGTGGTCAAAGGTGGATAAAGACAAGAGTTGGGGTATGAAGGTGGCTGGCCCAAGGCAACCAGTCTTGGAATCCAGTGTGACCCAGAACCCAGGCTCTTGTCAGTTTCCACTGGGATGACTCTTCTGATAAGAGCTGATTTAGTAAAGGAAGAAAGAGTTCTGTCTCTGCTCCCACCCCAGGACATTCATCAGCCTCCCAATGACTGCTGGTTTAGCTTAATGCTATAGTTCCAATATGAAATGTCTCCACTTGTCTCCTAGATAGTGATGCTAATTTGGAAGGCTGTCAACATTTAGGAGATAGGGGCTTGTTTTAGCATGAGTCTTAAAAGTTCTTATTAATAAAATCAAATCCAGAGCCAGGTATTAGGGTGAATGCTGGAAGATCAGAGAAGCAGAACAAGCCACAGCTACCTCACCTCACCAGTTCTCAGCTGATCCTGTTTCCTCAGACTGGAAGCTTCTGTGTCCTCAATCCCAATGACTCTCAGCTGAACTGCTCCTCGAAAGCCTGAAGCTTAACCAGCTAAAAGCTTCTTGTTTCTGGTCTTCACACCTTATATATCTTTCTGTTTTTGCCATCATTCCCTGGGATTAAAGGCTCACTTCTTGGGATTAAAGGCGTGAGTCACCATGCCTGGCTGTTTCCAATGTGGCCTTGAACTCACAGAGATCCAGAGGGATTTCTACCTCTGGAATGCTAGGATTAAAGGTGTGAGTGCCACCATTTTCTAGCCTTTGTATCTAGTGGCTATTCTGTCTCTGACCCCAGATAAGTTTATTAGGGTACACAATATTTTGGGGAACATGATACCACCACAGGCATGTGATAGTGTTGACTGCCAACTTCAAAGAATATGTATTACTTAAGAGATAAACCTCCACACATTCCTGTGAGAGATTATTCAGATTAGGTCAGCCTCTGGCCATGCCTGTAGGGGCTAGGTCAACTGAGGTGGGAAGATCTTGCTATTGTGAGCTACACAATTGAACAGCATTCATCACCCTCTGCCTCCCTACTGTATTGCAATGTGACTAGCTGCTTCAAGCTCGTGCTACTGTGAGTTCCCTCCATGATGGATGGTACTTTGCAACTATGAACCAAGATAAAAAAAAAAAAAACTTTCCTTCATTAAATTGCTTTTTCAGAGTATTTCATCACAGCCACAGAAAATAGCTTATGTAGCCCTAGCAAGTGGAGATATGTCACCAGGGCAAGATTTTGCAGGTTATACACCGACCCTGCTCCCCCCATGCCTTCCTTGTCTGCCATAATACAGTCAGACTCTACCACTTGGCTGCCATGAACTGAGCTGCTCTGACCGGCTTTCCCCACTGTGACAGACTGAAACCTTTGAAAACTGTGAGCCAAAGTAAATCTTTCCTCCCTTGAGTTTGTTTTGTCTGGTATTGTGGTCACAGGAAGGCAAAAGCAATGACCGCAAACAAATAACATCACTTCATAACCTCCGTTGCTGTAGGGAGACTCTTGCTTGCTTAAGGGTTATGCCATGAGGGATGACTTGAAATAATCTCATTTTATAGATGATGAAAGAGAGGTTCTGGGGAATGAGCCTTTCAAATAACAAATGCAAGCAACTATGATACAACCAGGGTTTGTGGGAATCCTAAGCAACAAGGTAATGGTCCATTGGGAAGAGGGAGCCCTGCAGACAGACAATAAGTCTAATTTCATTTCTGTTGCTGTGAAAGACACCCAGACAAAAACTATTTTGAGGGGAAAAAGGGTATGTTTGGCTTACAAATTCAGGTCACAGGCTATCACTTAGGGAATTCATGGTAAGAACTTGAAGGCAAGCATGCTACAACCTTAACCACACAGCATTACCTACAACTAAGAAGCTCACTTGACCACTATAGTGTGACAGGAACCACAAGGATGCTGCTAGCAGGCAGGTTCATGTTCAGCTAGCTTTCTTGTACAGCCTAGAATCACATGCCCAGGGAATGGTAACTCCCCTAGTAGGATGCCTGGGGCCAATGTGGTGAAAGCAGAGAATTAGCTACTGCAGACCATCCTCTGACCTTCACCTGTGCGCCCTGGCAAGCATGCACAAATCCCCAGTATATATACAAAATTTTACAAGCAAAGAGTAAAAATAATTTCAAAAGGAACCAGGGTTTCTTTTCTTTCCAATATCAAGGCCCTCTTCCTTCAGGCCAGAAGTCCAGACCCTAACCCTCCTCCCACAGACACGGAGGTCCAAGTTCTAGTCCTCCTCCCTCACACCCAGAGATCCAGGCCCCATCTCTCCTCCCTCAGACTCAAGTGTCCAGGTCCCAGCCTCCTCCCTGAGGTCATGGGTCCAGACCTTGTCCCTTCTTCCCTCACACACAGAGGTACAGGCTCAGTCTCCTACATAGAAAAAGACCTAATTCGCAACACCTGCTTGGTCACCTGGCCCAACTAGCCCACATCCTGTCTGGCTGGGTTACTAGTTTTCCTGGGCCTTCGTTGTTCTTTTCTATGGCAACCAAGATCCCTCCTCTCTTGCTTGTCTGAGCAGAAACAGAGAGGTCTGATGAAATTCCCTGTTCTCTTTCTTTCCCTTGTCTGTTCTCTTTCCTCCGAAAATTCCTAGAGAATGAATGTCTAGGCACAGGAGCCTCTGTCTGGGCCAGCTACCTTCCAGAGGCAAGCAGCCAAACTCCCTCCATTGGGTTTTTTCCTAGGACTCTTTCCTGAAGGTCTAGGTGTTTCCTGGAATCTTGAGTGTGGGGGAGGAATGGCTCAGTGAGGCCCCATTGGCAGCCTAAGGATCTAAGCCCTCCCCCGTTCCTGGAAGTCAGACTGCTTGCATGTCCGGGATCTGTGCCCATCAGGGGACTCCTTGCCTCAGGTCCCACTTCTCCAGAAGGGAGTAACACACCCTGCCCAACTGAGTGGTAGCCACAGAGCTGTGGAGTGTGGGCCTCCCAGCTGCTGGGCCCCCTCCTCCTCCTGTCCCTTTCCCCCTTCCTTCCTCTCTGCTGTCATCCCTCCTCCCCCATCCTGTCTCTCCCTTCTCTTCTGCCTCCCAGGGAAATCCCAGTGTGTGAGGAATTGACTCTGCTACAGGAGTACAAGGAGTACAGCCCAGGAGAGGTGGTGCAGCAGGCCAATGAAAGACAAGAGAGAGCAGAGGGAAGCGGTGGGGGGTTGGGGCATGGGGGGAGAGAGAGAGAGAGAGAGAGAGAGAGAGAGAGAGAGAGAGAGAGAGAGAGAGAGAGAGAGGAGAGAGAAAGAGGAGAGAGAGAATATGTATGAGAATAAAGACAGCGGCAGATCAATAGACAAACACAAGTCAGAAAGGGCAGGCATTAGGGAAACCCACACACCCTTTATTTCCTTAATCTAGCACTTCCTAGGCCACATGAAGAGGCAAGCTGGAGAGTAAACTGGGCTACAGGGTGAGTTCAAGGCTAGTCTGGGCTGCACAGAGAGACAATGTCAGATGGGAAGGGGCGGTGGGCAGAGAGAAAAAAAGAAAGTGAAGAGAGAGAAAGAGGATGGAAGGAAGGATTGAAGGAAGAGAGGGAGACAGAATGATTACTTAAGGGTTAGAAGTTTAGAGAGGCACAAACTTTACCCTTCCTCTTTTGTTTCCCCTCTCCCCCATTCTTACTTTTCATCCTGACTAAACTCAATCATTCAACACCTGTTGATCCCAGGAACTGGCCTAGGCTCTAAGAGCAGACATATGTGTAGAATGGATAAGGACCACTGTCTATGGAGAGCTTACATTCTAACAAGAGAGGCCCTCATGACACCAAAGAAGATGCTCAGCAATTGAGTCTATACATTATATAGAAAGCTGATCAATGCTGTGGGGGGAAAGGGAAAACAGAGAATCAGGGTCTATGGTCCATAATGGTGAAAAAAGTGTGAGAGTTGAATGACTCAACCCATGACAGCAGGAGCTCAAGAGATGGTTTGTTCACATTTTGGTGGATCAGTAGAGGGTGGATCAGAAAGAGAGACCTGGCTTCTAACACTCAAAGCCCTTCACCTACCCACTGTCTGCTAATTCTGAGTAGACAAGGAGTTCAATATGAGGTGTCCTGGTTTCTTTTGTGTGGTAAAACACTGATCAGAAGCAATATGGGAGAGGAAAGGATTCATTTGGCTTATAATTTCAAGTCACCATTGATCATTAACAGAACTCAAGTAGGAGCATAAGGAAGAAACCATGAGAGAATGCTGCTTGAAGCTGTAGTCTACAGCCTGGGGTCACGCGCCTTGACGTGGCTGGGCCCTCCTACATCATCAGTCAAGAGCCTGTCAGACATGGCCACAGGCTAATATGACCTAGAAGCTCCCCTCTCAAATACCTGTAGGCTGCGTAAAGTTGACACGCTAAGCAAACTAGGATGTGAGGTTAACTGGGGGAAAAGGTATGTCTCCCTGTGGTCAGAACTTCTTTGTGGTTAAACATCCTGGAAGCAGCTAGATTGTTCTGTTATATCAGAAACTAAGTCACCTAGAAATTCTCTAACACGTGTACAGTATCCAAGGGTCTACACACTCAAAACACACTTAAATTACCTGATGTGATATATATCACTAGAATGCTGGATGTTATTGGTTTGTTTCTTTGCTTTTTTTTTTTTTTTTTTTTTTTTTGGACTGTTCTAGAGGATCATGGAATGAAATACCTTAAAAAGGAAACACAGTCCACCACAATTCGAGAAAGAGAAAAGGGTTACTTAATTCCATGAATATGTCACACACCTCATAAATATTCCTTACAATTTCTTTAAAATCTGCAACATAGGACCCTCTGAACTACTCCTCCTCCTTCAGGTAGTCCAGTTCAGTCTCCCTCTATAGTTTGTTTATTTGCTGCTTTGTTTAGCTTTGCAAAATAAACCTTTGCTCTAACTATGTCACTTGACTGAGCAGTTGTCAAGAACTGAGAGATATCCCCTCCCCGCCCCCAAACTATCACACTCCATGACAGCTCCTCAACCTTTAAAACAGCGCCACTAGCTGGTTACCAACTGTACAAACACATGGTCCTGGGAGTGATTCTGCCCTCCATCTCTCCTTTGTCTCTCAAGTATCTGGATTTCTTCAAAGTATTTCCTTTCCAAGCCAGAACACTTCATAGAGTGAGCAACCACCACCTAGCTCAACAGACACATTTAAGAAAATGCCGATTTCTCCAAGTTAACTTTTCAGTGGTCATTTACCCTCCTTAATTCTCCAGGAAGGAAGTTCAAACATCTCTTACAGTAACCTGGGGCTGTAGTTCAGTTGGGGTGCTTGCTTAGCACGCACAAAACTCTGGATTCCCTCCCCTGCACTGCACAAGTCAGTCATGGTATCATATGTCTGCAGTCCTAGCACTTGAGAAGTGCAGGCATGAGGATCCGTAACTCAATGTCATTCTCAGCTATACAGAAAGTTAGAACCTAACCTGGGTTCAGAGATGTTAGGTTTAAACCCAGGACAATGGGCTGAGGTGCCTACTTAACATATCAAAGCAGACCTGGCTGCCAGGTTCTCCCAGCTTCCCTCAGCACCTACCTGTTGCAGGACCCTCCTGGCTGGCATACCCCTCCTCCCCCCCACTAAACTTTGCAGCCCAGAGGCTGGTCTGCCCTTCCCCCAGCTGCCCTTCTCTATATAATCTGTTTTGGTTACCTGGTCATTTTGTCTACTCTCTTTTGGGCCTCTCTTTTGCTACACCTTGTTCCTCTTTCTCCCCCTTCTCCCTTCCCCTCCCCTCTCTCCTTACGTGGCTCAGGGTCATATCCACTCTGGACTCTCCCAGATGTCCTTGCCTCTGACTATGTCTGTTTCCCTTTTATCCACAACAGACTTTCTCCTCCACCATACCTAGGGGTAGTCATGTTCCTTTCTTATTTCTTTTTTTTCATTCATGAGAGACCCTCCCTCAAAACACCAACAAAATCCCCCCCTCAGTTATTCAAGGACCATATTTTTCTTTTTTTTTTCTTTTTTTTTATTTATTTATTATGTAGACAGCATTCTGTCTGCATGTCTGCCTGCAGGTCAGAAGAGGGCGCCAGATCTCATTACAGATGGTTGTGAGCCACCATGTGGTTGCTGGGATTGAACTCAGGACCTCTGGAAGAACAGTCAGTGCTCTTAACCGCTGAGCCATCTCTCCAGCCCCTTTTTTTGTTTTTTGAGACAGGGTTTCTCTGTGTACCTTTGCAACTTCCCTGGAACTCACTCTGTAGCCCAGGCTGGCCTCAAACTCACAGAGAACTGTCTGGCTGAGATTAAAGGCGTGCGCCACCACCGCCCAGCCTCAAGGATCATATTTTTCAAGACCCTTATTGAATGCCTGAAACTATACATAGCACCCAGTTCTACACACAAACTAAGAACCTTGCACTGAATGATTTCTTTTTAGTACACCCGAGTTGCCGTTGTTGTGTGATCTTAGCCAAAAAGAGAAATGGTCAAAGGTGAACTTTTAAGTAAAATAAGAACATTGGAATTCAAATACAATATATGGCAATACTGAATCCTATAAATAAATGACTAAGTTACTAAGGGGCTGGTCACATATGCAGCATGCATATCCTGGGCCAAAGGAAGATTCACATCCAGGACAAGACAAACAGGAGAGCATTAGATTTCATTGTGCTGCTTAGGAATAACACACAATTGAACCCAGCAGGTTTTATATATATATATTTTTCTTATATTATGTTATAATATAGTATAATATATTATGCTCATTATATAGTTATATGATATATAATACTTATTATATTTATTAAAATATATATTTATAATATATTATAAACATAAATTCATTATACACATATTTAACAATGATAATTAAAGAAAAAGAGGTCATGAATTTGAGGTGGACTATGGCAACATTAGAGGGAGGAGAGGGAGGCCAGAATGATGCTATTATTTTATAATTTAAAAAAATTATTGTTTTCTTGTGTGGCTTGTTGGCCTGGAGAGATGGCTCAGTGGTTAAGAACACTGGGTGCTCTCACAGAGGACCTGGATTTGATTCCTAGACAGGCAGACAGTCAAGTCACCTATGCATACAAAATAATAAAATAAAAATAGGTTTTTAAAATTACAAATTGTTTATTCCCAGGATTTTTCCATTTGGTATTTTTGGACTTTGATTGATGAAGCTAACTGCAACCTCATAAAGAGAAACCAGATAAGGGGGGGGGCCTATGTTATTTGAGAACAGTGTTTGACAAAATGGGCAGGGAGTGGGGCAGCCAGAGTAGCATGGATGAGCTTTGATGAAGGGTTCCATTCATTTGAGGCTGTGTCTGAGCCACCTCTCAGTCCCCACTCCTCAAAGGATTATATCCAGCAGCTCTGCCATACTCACTCACACTTCCTTGGTGTCCCACCAGTTCCAAACCTTCAACTCTTTCAAAGCTCATGTTCAGCCAACAACCCCTAGCCTGAAGGAAATTCTGGAATCTCTGACATAGCCACCCACTGAGTTACCTGACCAAGAATCCCTTGTCTCTCTACCTACTTAGTAGATCACATAGACCTAGAGCTGATCCTTTATCTCCACAGCTCCCAGTTCTCTTGTAGTTCTCTAGTTAGTTAGCCCTTGAGTCTGGCATTCAAAACTCTGTATATTGCACATGCTATAATAGCTTGATTTTGTCATAAAGAAATGATGTCGTATCCTTGACTTTACTAATATACAATTTAAACCTTTTTCAAAGTTTTATTACATTTATTTTAGGAGCTGAATGCCATGATTTGCACATGGAGGTCAGAGGACAAGTTGCAGAAGTCTGTTCTCTCCTCCCACCATGTGGGTTCTGAAGAATGAACTCAGGTTTTCAGACATAGTAGCAAATGTCTTTATGCACTGAATTATCCCATCTGTCCCTACTTGTTTATTTTGAGACAGGCTCTGATATAGCCCATGACAGCCTCAAATTTCCTTTGTAGTCTAAGATGGCCATGAACTTCTGAGCTTCCTGCCTCTACTTCCCAAGTGCTGACATTGCAAACATACAACACCATGCCCAGGGTGTGTTATGTATCAAACACACAGTCTAAATGCAATCACTCCGCAACTGAGCTACATCCTCATCCTGAATATATAATTTTGCATTTCAATCTAAAAGTCATTTTTAAAGATTTATTATGTATAAAGTATTTGGCTTGCATATATGGCTGTGCATCATGTATATGCAGTGCCCACAGAGATTCAGAAGAGGGCATAGATCCACTGTACCGGGAGTCACAGGCAATTGTGAGCTACCATGGGAGTGCTGGAAACTGAACCCAGGTCCTTTGCAAAAGTATCAAGTACTTGCCGGGCGGTGGTGGCGCACGCCTTTAATCCCAGCACTCGGGAGGCAGAGCCAGGCGGATCTCTGTGAGTTCGAGGCCAGCCTGGGCTACCAAGTGAGTTCCATGAAAAGGCGCAAAGCTACACAGAGAAACCCTGTCTCGAAAAACCAAAAAAAAAAAAAGTATCAAGTACTCTTACCACTGAGTCATCTCTACAGCCATCCATACCCCCACTTTATAAAAGATTTATTTTATTTTTATGTGTATGTTGCATGTGTACAGGTGTCCACAGAGGCCAGAAGAAGCCACCAGATACGCTAGAGCTGGAGTTACAGGTGGTTGTAAGCCACCGGACCTGAGTCCTGGGGCCCCAACCCAGGTCCTCTGCAAGAGCATCAAGCACTCTTAACTACTGAGTCATCTGTCCATCCCCCAAAACTATTTTTAGAGCAATCTTACCTTCATGTACCTCATTACTTCTCAACTACTTCGTGCTTCCACAGCACCACTCAGTCAGCGTGTGATTTGTAAACTGGCCACACCATGTCTTTCCTTGGGTACCTTTTCTCTCCTTTACTTTCCACTCCACTATGTCCTCATCAGTTAGGACCACCTTCTCCAGGAAGCCCTTCCTGCCTTTCAGTTGGGTGGAACTATTACTCCATCAGTGCCCAGTCCTCTATTTACACAGCTGTCTTCTCAGAGACAGGGCCCCCTGCTGAGTCATTTGTGTGTGCCTGCCATCACTTAGTCTAGGGTCCCACCCATCAGCAGCTCAAGAGGTGTCCCTGTAATGAATATATGTTTTTCCTCTGTTTCTTCTCCATTTATGACTACCACCCCTACCTTTCCCCGTCTTCTCATCTTGAAGTTAAATGACAGCCCCCATCTGGAGAAGAAAGGACACTGTGGACTAGGCAGGAACCAGTTATAAGCTACCATTAGAGGGGAGGGAACTGGGAAAGAGTGCTCAGCTTCATCTGTCTTTGTCATCTTGTCTTTGATACATTCTGTCCTGATCATCTGTGCTTGCACTGAATTATGGGAAACTAGACCTCTGTGTCTGAGGGACGAGGGTTAGGCCTGTACTCCTTTTCTGAGAGAGGAAAGCTGATTTCCAGACTCCTGAGTCTAAAGGAGAGTACACTGGACTTCTGGGTCTGAGGGGGAAGTGCTTTGGCTTGGACACCTGGGTCTAACGGAGGAAGGCTGGGGTCTGGGGTCTGGGGTCCAAGGAAGGGGAGCTAGGGTCCGTACCCCTGGATCTAACAAGGGACTGAGGCCTGGACACCTGGGTCTAAAGGAGGAGTCTGGGCTGTGGCCAGGTCTCTAGTGTCCTGGCAGAGAAAACTCCCAGGGTTTGAAATCCTGGTCTTTCTCTCATGCACACTCTGGTTTTAGAAACATCTGGTTTTATACAGCTGCTCCACCCAGTCAGGGCGGTGTTCAGGCTAGTCAAATGCCCAGCTCCTTGGGTGGAGCTTGGGTTATCCCTTTCTAGCCACAGGAACTCCTCATATCCCCTGCTCTGGGCTTGACTCCATCAATGGATCCATCATCCTGACACAGCCAGACACTAAGCATCAGAGGCTCCCGGCAATAGCGTCAGACACAGCTTTCCCTGCCCTGATGGGTGGGTGGTGCCCAGGTTCCCACCACCAGGGACCTTCTCAGTGGCCAGGCTCAAACAAAGATTCAACCTGGCACTGCCCCTACACCGTGTCTAGCGAGGTTCCCACACCCTGGATGTGAGAACCTGGCTCTGTTCAGGAGGAGTCCCGAATGGCTAGGAGAGATGACGAAGCCGCAGGAGAAAGGAAAAACAGAGAGACATAAAAAGTCAGAGGGGGAGAGGAGAGTGAGAGAGTCTCACAAAGAGACAGGCAGGTAGGCAGATGTTAGTTAAAGACATAGAGGGACAGAGGAATAGATAGATGATAGATCCAGAGATGGCAGGTCAGCAGAAGATGATAGATGACAGACAGATAGGTGAGAGGTGGTAATTAGAAATAGACATGAGAGAGGGAGACGTGGAGGAGGATTGGAAGAAATGGGAATACAGATGGGTAGACAAACAGAGTCAGGGGGTCAAGCACAATGAGAGAGCACGAGAACAAGGGAGACAAAGAGAAAGAAAGAATATAATTGTCAGCATCTACCACACAGAAGGATGTAGGAACAGACAGTTACTGGACACTACCCACCATAAGTTCACAGTGAGAGGAACTTTGAGAAAGATAGTCTTAGAGCTAACAACAACAAAAACCCTTATAAAAAGAATATAAAATAGTGGCAGGGATCACTGGCCTTCTGGCCCCAAGGAGCTGGGGTACACACACCCTGGGACCCCATCTCTTCCCAGCTATGTTCTGACCCAGTCTCAGGGATGTGTATCAGAACACTGAGCTGAGGCCATTCCCTGAAGTCACTGAAATCCTTCAGAAGACAGATCCCAGTATTCCAGTCCTTAGCCCCAGCCAGATCTTGACATGGACACATGTATGTACACACACACACCCCACAGACACACAATAGACAGACACCAGCCCAGCAAAAAGCAGGCAATTCTGGCTGTAGCTCCAGGCTGCTGTGAAAACACATGCCAGCAACACAGTCACACCCACAGACATGCTCGTGTGTGCACTTTATCTATCTGCCAGTTGCTGATATATGTTCCTGCAGGACCCATTGTAGAGAGTCTGGGGAGATGATGAGTAAGTGAGGAAGAAGTAAGAAGCGAGGGGGGGGGGGAGTGAGTCAGAGTGGGTGATAGAAAGTAATACGACAAATGGGGCGAGATGGAGACAGAAATACAGACAAAACACAAGAGAAGCAGCTGAGGGAGATGCGAAAGACAGAAATGGGGGAAAGTTGGAAAGAAATATACAGACGGAACAAATGAAAGGTAAAGTGAACTTAACGCAAGAGAAAAGGGGAGAAAGAGAAAAGAGAGAGGAAGGGCTGGAAGAAAAGGGGGAGTGAAGGACCAGCTTGAGGGGCTGTGAAGGGAGGTCCTATCTGGCGAGGGGGATGGGGGCAATGTCGGGAATCGAAGAGGGTGGAGTCATGGGATTGTGTGACCTCAGAGCCCCTGGACAGGCTAGTTCTCTGACGTCAGCTCTCCTCCACCCCCGCATTTGCTGGTCTTCAAATGGCCCCCCTCCAGCTAGCTCCAGACACACACGGATTGCAGAGCAAGCCGGAGAGGAGAGAATCCAGCAGGACCCACAGCCATGAGACATGTATGTACGTGTGTGCGTGTGTGCGTGTGTGCGTGTGTGTGTGTGTGTGTGTGTGTGTGTGTGTGTGTGTGTGTGTGTGTATTTTCTGCTGCCATAAAGGGTAATTACTACCATATGTGAGACCATGTGTATTGGGGACTATTGAGAAGGAGTTCGTGTACGTGTGTATCTACTTGTGACAGCAACTGTATGTGTTCAGTGAGCTTGTAAGGTGGAGTGAGTTTCCTTCTCTATGTTCATTGCTATATGGTTTGTCATCCATACATGTCTGTGATTCTATAAATGTGTGTTGGTATTCCCAAAGAAGACTTTGCATGTAAATGATGTATGCATTTCGGTTTCACTTTTATGGGTTCAGAATCTACTTAGCTGAACTACATGCATTCACCAATATTCAACCTCTCTTGACCTGTAAAAAGAGCAATTTCATATGGCTGGGGTCTATTTGAACCAGCGGTTCTCAACTTGTGGGTCATGACCACTTTTATCAATTTGTAACAATGAAGATACATCCTGCCTATCAGATATTTACATTACTATTCATAACAGTAGCAAACTAAGTTATAAAGTAGCAACTAAAATAATTTTATGTTTGGGAGTCACCACAACATGAGGAACTGAATTAAAGGATGGCAGCATTAGGAAGGTTGAGAACCACTGATTTTAACTGTTGACTATTTCTTCTGAAACCTTCTACTTCTGTTCCTTTATCCCAGTCCCTTGGTGGCTGTCTGTGTGGCTATTGGCATATTTTTTATCATCTTGATATTGTTTCTTCCTGACACTGAGGGCTTGTGTCCTCAGGTCCCCTGCATGACCATCAGTGGGAGGTCACAGGACGCCATGCTCAGCCTGAGACAGGGTATATGAGGTCGTCTTGTGGAACATGGGTGTTTTCAGTCTGTGTGGTTCTTAATGTTGCGAGTACAGCTGTAGGTGGAGGTGTCCATAACTTCCTCATAATCTGAGCCACCCCAGGAGCCCAGGCAGAGCTGTATTTGAGGCAAAAAGACAGTAATGAAGGGGTCTGAAAGAAAGAATAATTGTTACTGAGTACTTAAAAGTTCTTTCTCAAATTTGGTACCATGTACTCGAGGTCCCAAATACTTTGGAGTCTGAGACTGGAGGATGCTTGAGTCTAGGAATTTGAGGCCAGTCTGGGCAACACAGGGAAACCCTGCATGTTCTTTTAAAATCCCCCAAATCCCTAACTCACCTCTACTGTTCAGAAACATAACGTGAATTACCACATAATTTTTAAATCCTCTTTTAAAAGTAAAGTGGGTCCTACAAGATGGCTCTGGGGGTAAAGGTGCTTGCACTAAGCCTAATAATCTGAGTTTGGTCTCTGAGACCCAAATACTGGGAAGAAAGAACCTAGTCCCATAACTATCCCCCAACCTACACACACACACACACACACACACACACACACACACACACACACACACACACACACACACACACACACATACACTGGGGCAAATGCTCTGTGACATGCATATGCCCACACACAAAATAAACAAATAAGTGTAATTTTTAAATGAAATTAATTTTGGTAATTTATTTGCTTTGACCCACTGTGTGAGAAGACTGTAAACTTTTCTACCAGACACCAAACAGTAAACACTTGAGGACTAGAAGACATTGCGTTCTCTGCCAGAACTACTCAGTCTTGGTATGCTACAGCAGACTCAGCATAGATAATGGGTGCAATGTGAAGAACACTGGGGTTTGAACTGTAAGTAACTTTCATGCTCCACAAAATATTTTTGTTTCACTTTCAGCTTAAAACAATTTGCAAATGTGAAAAGATATTGGTTTGCAAGTAGAAGTGAAATCTGTGTACTGACCACTACTGTACATTTAAAAATATGGTTCTTTGGGGCTGGCAACCTGGCTCAAAGAGCAAAGGTGCTTGCTGCTAAGCTTGATTACCTGAGTTTGCTCCCCAACAGGGTGGAAGGAGAGAATTAACTCCTAAAAGTTGCCCTGACTGCCACACACACGCACCATGGCATGTGTGCATGCACATACGCACAAATAAAAAATAACTAAACAAACAAACAAACAAATATTTTGAAACGTGATTGTTTTAGGGACTTGGGATGTAGCTCAGCTGGTAGAGTGCTTGCTCAGCACACACAAAGCCTAGGTTCAATCCCCTGCACCAAATAAACTGAATGTGGTAGCCTACCTCTGTCATGTTATCACTCAGAAGGCAGAGGAAGAAGGATCAGAAATTCAGTGTCATTCTCAGCCATGTAGTGAAGCTAAAACCAGCCCAGGCTTCATGCAACCCTGTCTGGAAAACAAAATGATCATTTCAGTGTTACCAATACAAAAATATTAATGAGATCTTTTGTTTTTTCACCCACCCCTGACTAAATCTATAAGATGGCTTATCTTTTTGTAAAATTTATAGTTAAAAAGAGTCATGCATCACATTTGTTTGAAACATATTTAAAAGTTTTTCTATAATTGAATGGGACTAAATGGAATATTTATTTTAATTTACATATTTAAATTGTGCATTTATAGTTGTGTGTGTGTGTGTGTGTGTGCATTCATATGTAAAAAGTGCTGGGAACTGAATCCAGGGCCTCCTGTGTCTTTGGCAAATGTTCCACCACTTATACTCACCATCTTTTTTTTCTTTTTTTTAACATTTGTGTGTGTGTGTGTGTGTGTGTGTGTGTGTGTGTGTGTGTGTGTGTGTGCCTATGTGCTTGCTCAATCAAATGTGGAGGTCAGAGGACAACTTCCCAGAGTCTGTTCTCTCCTTCCTCCAGGTGAGTTTCGGCGATCAAACTGGGGTCCTCAAGCTTGGTAGCAAGTACCTTTACCTACTTAGCCATCTTGCTAGTGTCTTCATTTCTACTTTGATAGAGGGTTAAACACTATGTTAACCAGGCGGGCCTTGAACTTGAGATCCTCTTACATTATTCAGCCTCAAAAGTAGCTAGGATGACAGGCTTATGTCATCAGACCTTTCATTTTAATGTCTCTGGGTGTAATGCTGTAGGGGTGTGCTCAGTTGTGCCTGCTCCTATGGACATCAGAGGTTAACATGAATGTCTTCTTCTGTTCTTTAGTCTTTGTCTTAAAGATAGGGTTTCCACTGAACACGGAACTGACAATTTCAGCTATAATGGCTGGCCAGCAAGCCCCAGGCATCTACCTGTTTGCCTGCCAGGCGCTGGGATTACAGATGGGCACTCAGCTATTTTGTGTATGCTGAGCCAGCTTCTTAATGTTAAATTAAGATTAGAAACTCACACACTGGTCATACTGGCTGCATTTCAGCTATGGACAGTGTTGCCGACCTTATGTTGAGGGCTTATCCCACAGTCAGCTTGGGAGGGAGGATCTGACAGCTTAAGACAGAGAAAGCATCACAGCCAGACTGTTTGTGTTTGAACCCTAAGTCCTCTGCTTACTGTCTGAATGACCTTAGTGAGAGAATTCATCTCTTTGGGCCTCAGAAACAGGACACAGCAATAGTACCCACTGCGGAGGGCTGCTGTAGAAGAATGTCTGGCTGTGGAAGCTGCTACTCACCTATTTCATGGATGAGAAAACTCCACTGATGTGTAAATGCACATGGCCCTGCCAAGTCACTGAATAGTGGAAAAGGGGCACACATCAGGCCTCTGGGAAGTCAGAGGTGCCATACTGTTGCCTGTGGCTGCTCACCGGTCACAAGCTTCTGACCACCCTGCTTTGCTATCTACACTATGACTGCAATGTTGTTGCTGGAGAGGGGAAAGCAGTCTAGGAAGACTGTGATTAGTGACTGGAATCCTGGGTTCAGCTCCTATCATCTCAGGTGTAACCTTGGGACTTCAAATTTCTGTGACTCGGCAGCTCTGCCTGGAAAATGGTGGTGATAAGAGTACTTACCTGGGACTGGAAATATAGCTCAGTGGGCAGCACAGGTGCCTAGCATTGCTCTACCTCCAGCACTGCACGAACTGGGCTGCGTGCCTGTCATCCCAGCACTCCAGACGTTGAGACAGTAGGATCAGAAGTTCAAGTCATCCTTGGCTACTTGTAGGACAGGCTGGGCTACAGGAGATCTTGTCTCTAAAACAAACAAGTTCATATATAAAAGGGTTAGAACAACACTTGGTACACATTTTGAATATACTGTTTAGTACATAGTATTAGTGTCTTGACACAGAGAAACTTTTGTTTGTACAGTTATTCTTAACTTTATTATTATTTTTTTCTAATTTTTAAAGTTACTTTTTGGGAAAGAACATGCCAAAGCATGTGTTTTAATCAAAGAACAGCAAGTTGATTTCTCTCCTTTCATCCTGTCGGTTCCAAGGATCAAACTCAGTTGTCAGACTTGGAGGCAGGCACCTTTAACCCACTGAGCCACCCACCAGCCAGCACCATTTTATGGGCCACTAACAAAAAAGAGGGAAAGCCTGAAAGCCTGGGGAGTTGCATTGTGTAATTCTTTTGTAAAGAAGAGATGCTAAAGCTGGGGGAGGAAGAGGCATAATAACTTACTTTAGAAGGCACCGTGTAAAAGCCTGGCTGGGTGACTCACTCCTGTCTTCCCAGCACTCAGGAGCCTGAGGCTGAAGGATTGGGTGTTCTAGACTGACTGGGGCTACATAGACTCTTTCTACTAAAAAAAAAAAAGGGGGGGGGTAATTAGTAAAATAAGGCATTAAGCCGAGATAAGAGCCACAATTGCTTCAAATGTGGTGCTCAGGGGATCTTCTTTCTAAGAACTACTGGGGTAACTAGAGAGGGAGCTGTCACCGTGGTAAGGGCACTTGCTGTCCTTGCAGAGGACCTGAGCCAACCGGTCTCACAATTGCCTGTAACTCCAACTCCAGGGCATTTGAGGCCCTCTTCCGGCTTCCATGGGCACCAGGCACATGGTGCACAGGCATATATGCAGAAAAAACATCCAAACAAATAAAATAAAAATAAATAAATAAACCTTTAAAATATGAGAGATCATTTAAAAGTTCTGAGATGTTATCATCCAGCTTAGAAGGGGATCCCCAGGAGTAAGGTCATCTCCAGAAAGCCCTCAGGACTGATCCTTCTCCTTGGCTCCCCACAGAACATGTCAAAGCCCTCAGAGGCAGCACGTCGCTGCTCCGGCCTGGCCCGGCGGGCACTCACGATTACGTTCGCACTGCTCATACTGGGCCTCATGACATGGGCCTACGCCGCGGGCGTCCCTCTCGCCTCCGATCGCTACGGCCTCCTGGCCTTCGGCCTCTACGGGGCATTCCTCAGCGCGCACCTGGTGGCGCAGAGCCTCTTCGCTTACCTGGAGCATCGGAGGGTGGCGGAGGCAGCACGGCGCGCCTCGGCGAAGGGACCCCTAGACGCGGCCACTGCACGCAGCGTGGCGCTCACCATCTCCGCCTACCAGGAGGATCCCTCGTACCTGCGCCAGTGTCTGACCTCAGCACGCGCTCTGATGTACCCTCGCGCGCGGTTGCGCGTCCTTATGGTGGTGGACGGCAACCGTGCAGAGGATCTGTACATGGTGGACATGTTCCGTGAAGTCTTCGCTGATGAGGACCCCGCCACCTACGTGTGGGATGGCAACTATCATCAGCCCTGGGAGTCGGCGGAGGGGGCAGGAGCAGTGAGTACCGGTGTATACCGCGAGGTGGAGGCTGAGGACCCAGGGCGGCTGGCAGTGGAGGCGCTGGTGAGGACACGCAGGTGCGTGTGTGTGGCGCAGCGCTGGGGCGGTAAGCGCGAGGTCATGTACACGGCTTTCAAGGCGCTGGGAGACTCCGTGGACTACGTGCAGGTGAGTGCAAGGCGCCCCGTGCCACCTCTGAGTGTGATCTCACACCCTCCACTTCAGAAAGAGTAGGGTGCACCTCAGGCCTTGGGAGGTGGAGGCAGGAAGATCAGAAGTTCAAAGTCAGGCTTTGAACTTTGAAACAGGAGATGCTGTTTCAAACAGATTTGAAGAAACCTCTTCTTTTCCTCTTTTCTTTATTCATTTGGTGAAAAGATCTTTCTATAGTTATTCGTGGTTTTATCCATCCTCCAATAGATCATTAATTTCTTCAATGTATCGTCAATCCTGTCTTCTCTTATTTATATGTACGTGTGTGGGCGTGGGGTGTGTGTGCTTGCTGTGAATAACTGAGAAAGACATCCTATGTCCTGCTCTTTCATTTTCCTCCTCCCTCATTCCTTTGAGACATGTCCTCTCACTGAAAGACTAGGCTGTCAGTCAGTAAGCTCCAGTGATCCTCTTGTACACACACACACACACACACAAAGAGAGCGCACACTATGTTACAGGCAGGCACATGCATCCACACCTAGCTTTTTACATGGAGGATGAGGATTCAAATCTGGGTCCACCTAGCTATCCCTCCTGCCTTAAATCCTTTCCTCTTTCCTCACTTACCACACATTCAGACAAAAACTCTAATTCATCCATTCACTCATTCATTCATTAACCATTGATGAACTGATTTAATATGGATATTTAGTCAATCTTATCCATCCATATGATACAATGCTTCCTCCTTTTTTATTCCTTTGGTGTGTTTCTTTCATTAAACGGTACATGCATTTGCATACACACCCAATACAGTGCTCATTCACTCTATCCATATGTATATTTGTTGCTGCCACAGAACACCAGACCAAAGCAACTTAAAGAAAGAAGGGTTTATTCTCGCTCACAGTTTGAGGGTGCAGTCCATCATGATAGGGAAAGAATGGATTCAGGAGCTTGAGAAAGCTGGTCACATTGCTCCTGCAGATAGGAAGCAGAAAGAGAAAAGGAAGTGAGACCCACTAGCTGGCCCCCATCTCCTAAAGGTTATATAACCTTCCAAAACAGTGCCACCAGCTATGAGACCAAGTGTTCAAACACATGAACCTATGGGGAACATTTCACATCCAACCACAACCCTGAATGAAGAAAACTATTCCCCTCTTTCATTCATGCAACCACTTAAGACAGAAGGAAACTCTATTTGAGCATACATTCATTCATCCTTCCATGCAACTACTCGTCCATTTGATACAGAGATTCATTCGCTTAACCACTCACCCATTAATCTATCCAGATATTCAACATGTTAATTACTTTTTTCTTCATGCAATATGGAAATTCTTTCCTTCACTATTCTCTGTACCCATGGATCTACATCCAGTGTGGACCTCATCCACTTATTTATTCATTCACTTACTTTCTATATAGCAGTTTGTTCCCCCACCCTTTTTTTCCCTTTCTTTCCTTCATGTTGAGATTTTTGTCATCCATCCATCTATAGACCTTTATTTCATCATGCATTCATCCATTCAGTGTGGCCATTCACTAACATGCTACTGTCTTAGTTCCTTCTCCTGCTGCTGTGAGAAAATATTCTGACAAAAAACACCATAAGGGAGAAAGGGGCTTACTTTAGCTCAGGGTTCAAGGTAAAGTTCTTCATGAATGGGAATTCAATTCACAGGAGCTAGAAGTATCCTGAATTTGTGTTCAGCTCACTTTCTCCTTTCTATATAATCCAGAATCCCAGCCCAGGGAATGGTGTAAACAATCTACACGCCCTTTCAAACCCCAGCCCTGTGTAAGTTTCTGGTCTGATCCTGGTCCCGTCCTTTTCACAGGTCTGTGACTCAGACACAAGGCTAGACCCCATGGCACTGCTGGAGCTTGTGCGAGTGCTGGATGAAGAACCCCGGGTAGGAGCTGTTGGAGGAGACGTAAGAATCCTTAACCCTCTGGATTCCTGGGTCAGCTTCTTGAGCAGCCTGCGATACTGGGTAGCCTTCAATGTGGAGCGAGCTTGTCAGAGCTACTTCCACTGTGTGTCCTGCATCAGTGGTCCTCTGGGTGAGTGAAAGTGGGGCTTGGAAGGCTTGTGGGTGGGTGACAATCAGGAAAGGGAGCCAGCGACAGGGTAAAGGTGTGGAAAAGTAGGGCTAGGGTTGGGATTACAGATAACGTAAGATTGGGGAGTGGGGAGATGGTGTTAGAGCTGCTGGAGAGGAATGAAGCTGGGAAAGGGAAAAGGATGGAGACTGGGGAAGTTGCTGCAAAAGGGCTCCTGGAAGTGAGTGAGATGAGGTTGGGGTGGAGACGGGGTTGAACCAGGGCACTGAGAATGCTGTGGCATTGTGGGGGGAGTGATGACATTACAGTGCATGGTCAGGTGACAGACACACTGGAATGGGCAAGGGGGTTCAGTTAAGACTGGGGCTGTATTTGGGAGTGATGAGGGGCCAGGCTGAGACTAGGATGGAGATGAGGAAGCACAGGGTGGGAAACAGAGATGTGTTGAGCACAATATGGACCACATCAGAGGCTGATGCTTAGGTACTCCCCCCCCCCAACCCCCACCTAGGCCTGTACAGGAACAATCTCCTGCAGCAGTTCCTGGAAGCCTGGTACAACCAGAAGTTCTTGGGCACCCACTGCACTTTCGGGGATGACAGGCACCTCACCAACCGCATGCTCAGTATGGGCTACGCTACCAAGTAAGTTGAGGGGACCACATGTTTGTGTCTGTGAAGAGTGTCCCTGAGTGAGAGAGACAAAGGGAGAGACAGGGAGAGGCAGAGGATAAATATCATAAGAGGCAGAGGAGTCATGTGTACTCAGCCAATGGCCTTCAAAGAGTTTGATATTAGGAGAGAATTGGGGGTACCAGAAAGGTTGTAAAGGGCTTTGTGAACACTCTTCCCCTCTACCAAAGGTGACGGTGAGCAATTTCACACAGAAGGAACAAGGTGGACAGGGTAAGTGGGCTGTACCATGGAGACCAAGCGTAGACCACTCGGAAGGGAAATGAGAAGGGTGAGATAAGTAGATGGGGTGGGTTAAAACCAGTGAGAGAAGCAACAAGAAAAGAGGCAACTGAGGAGGAGAGTACCTGATCTCCACTAAGCACTCTGGACAAAGTCTTTTAGTGACAGTACGAAATTGGTCACTAAGTCTCTGTTGGATGCTCTAGAGGCACAGTAGTAGGCAAAAGGGGCATATATTCCTCCTTACACTGAGGACACAATATATCTATTAAGTGTGGTAAACTAGGTAGTATATTGTGTGACTTCTCCTGGGGAAGAAGTGGTGTCCAAATTTAATATCCTTGCCCAAAAGTAATGCAAGGGAGGGATTGTTTATTTGGCTTACAATTCCAGATCACGGTCCATCACTGACAGAAAGTCAAGGCAGGAACTCAAGCAGCCAGTTGTATTGCATCCACCGTCAAAAGCAGAGAGAAATGAATGGACCCTAGCAAGCTGCCGACCTCTGCTTAAGTGTTTAGCTAGCCTTCTCTACACTTAACACTATTCAGTACCTACCCTGTGAAGTAGGGCTACTCAAATTCAGGGTGAATCTTCCCACCTCAATGAACAATCAAGACAGTTCCCCCAGACATGCCCACAGGTCAGCTTGATCTAGACAGCTCCTCAGTGGAGGCTTTCTTCTCAAGTGATGCTAGGTTGTGGCAAGTTGACAGTTAAAACTAACTAGCGGAGATGTAAACAAACATCCATTCATCCCAGACAGGGCACAAATGCAGACCAAAACCAAGTAAATTAAAAAATAAAATAAAATAAAATTCTACCTGTCATTTGATGTTGGTCATAGGGGCCAAAGTAGAGAGGGAAGCTCACCAAGATGCTAAGCCCTCATTTTCCAAAGGAGCAGAGGGGTTCGGTCTTCTTGAAAAAGACTGACTCCCCAGCTAGCTCATTACAGTTACTTTATTCAAACATATACAAGGTTAATAAGGGCTAGGAAAGGTTCCAACTATCAAAGTTAACTTGCTTTTGCTGCCTGTGAGAGCAGAAAACCCATACAAATCTCAGTTCCTTTTGCCATAACCGAAAGAAAGAACTCCAGGTCAGCCTTAGAACTTAGGCTGTTTTAGGACTAAGGTTGGTGCAGCTACAAGCTCTCCTGTAGCACCAAGTGCAGATTCTGCAGAAAGACAGTATTTTTTCAAGGTTGAAACAGTCTCAAAACAATTTCACAGTATCTACTGATTAACCTAAAGGTAGCAAAGGCTTTGCTGAAACATTTCTCCCAAAGCCAGACATGAGGCTTTACTATATGTTTCACTTAAAGCCAGACACAAAGTCTAACTTGATGCCAGTGAGTTTATTGGGTGTACTTATGCATGAATGATTCTGAGTCAGCTTTAACTGCTCACAAAAGCTGCACTTTGCAGGCAGCTCCACTGAAGGGTCAGTCACCACCCCCCCACCCCTCACCCCTCCACAGTTTTTCACCTCCTTGAGGAGGACTCTCCTCAATCTTGTAACGTTGTAACATTTTAAGCTTCCTGGGTCTTGTAAATTCCTTGAACTTCCATTATGTTTTTAAGTCTTCCCTCCTCCCTCCAAGAGGAAATGTTTCAATTTGGAGGAAACAGCTAGAGCTGGAGCTATAATCTCATTTTAGCCAAGAGCACCAGGAGAGAGGACTGAGGGCCAGCAGGGGTCCCCTTGTGAAAGACTCATAGGACCTTTGCTAAAATGAATCATGAAGGGCTTTGAGCAGAGACTGGCATGGAACAGCAACCTCCAGGCAGATGTTTTGGGTACAAACAGCAAAGGCAGAAGCAAGCAGAACACTGAGGGTGCCAAATGACACAAACACTGTCAAGTACTGCCCTTGGTGACAGACTAGTTTGACGCTGTCTAATGAACTAACTGCTGATGGCCACCTGTGACTTCCTTAACTGGGAGTCTAGCTACCCTGCATGGGTACGGCTAAGCCACGTAGGGACAGATTAATGGTTTCTGACTTGGTCACAGGAAGGGGTCCAACTGTTCTTTTGAGAACTTCTCACATAGAGACTAACCTGGGTAGTGGCCAGTCTTGTCTTACTCCTCATGCCAGGACCTGCCAATTTAGTCAGCACTTAGTCATGTCACTGATGGTGTTTGTGTCAATGACTAATATTAGTCATGCTTGTAGTAACAGTGTTAGTCACAGTAAAAACAGCAGTAGCTTACACGGACTGAGCAATTACTAGAAACTGCCTGGCGTACAAACTTCATGCAGTCGTAGCTGTTGCAAATATTAAACGATGATAAAGGACCATAGAAAGGACGCTGAGGAGGCTGGAGAGGTGGTCCATTGGTTAAGAGGACCTCTTCTAGAGGAGCCAAGCTGAATTCCAGCACCTTCATCTAGTGGCTCACAGTTGCCTGTAACTCCATCTCCAGGGGACCTGAGACACTTTTCAGGCTTCCTTGTGCATCCATATACTTAGGCATACTCATACACACACACACACACATACACACACACCACACACACCATACATACCCCCTATACCCCCATACCCCACACCCCCACACCACACGCACCCCTACACCACACACACCACATATACACACACCACACATACCCCCACACACACCCCACACCTCACATTACCCCCACCCCACACCACATGCACCCCCACACCACACCCCCACACCACATATACACACACCACATATCACACACTACACATAACCCCACACCCCCATACCACACACACACCTCACATAACCCCCACACTCCCACACCACACACACACACACACACTACACATACCCCCCACACCACACACACATACACACACCACACATACCCCCACACCCTCCCCCCCACACACACTACACATACCCCCCACACCACACACACACACACACACACACACACCCCCACCACATACCCCCCCCACACTACCACACCACACGCACCCCCACAACATACACACACCTACACACCACATACCCCCCACACCCCCACACCACACACACCCCAGGATTCATTCCCCTCTGCTTCCTGTCCATGGATTCAGTGTGATCAGTTGCCTCGTATTCCTGCCTGCATGCTTTCCCTCCCAGGCCAGACTTTACCTTTGAACTATGAGCCATAATAAAACCCTTATTTCCTTTACCTGTTGTCGTCAGGTATTTTGCCACAACGACAAGAAAACAAATACAAAAAAAGAAAAAACCCTTTACCCAACAGCAGTCAAAGTGGTCACTTCGAAATTCTGCTCACTGGACTACAGAGGTAGCTCAGCTAATTCAGAGTACTGGCTGCTCTTGCAGAGGACCTGAGTCCGATTCCCAGCACCCACATGACAGGTCATAAGCATCTGTAACTCCAGTTCCAAGGGCTGTGATGCCCTCTTCTAACTTCCTTAGGCACCAGGAACACATGAAGCACACGTACATACATGCAAGCAAAACATCCATGCCCATGAAATGATCTTAAAATTTAAAGGTTCTGCACAAGCCCCAGGGAGAACCACACTGATGTCCTCTCTTGTTTCTCTGCGCCTGTCAGATACACCTCGCGCTCCAGATGCTATTCGGAGACACCCTCTTCCTTCCTGCGCTGGCTGAGCCAACAGACCCGCTGGTCCAAGTCTTACTTCCGCGAGTGGCTATACAACGCCCTGTGGTGGCACCACCACCATGCATGGATGACCTATGAAGCGGTGGTCTCGGGCCTCTTTCCTTTCTTCGTGGCTGCCACAGTGCTGCGGCTCTTCTACGCTGGGCGCCCGTGGGCTCTGCTCTGGGTGCTGCTGTGTGTGCAGGGTGTGGCGCTGGCTAAGGCGGCCTTTGCAGCCTGGCTACGAGGCTGCCTCCGCATGGTGCTGCTGTCACTCTATGCACCACTCTACATGTGTGGCCTGCTGCCTGCCAAGTTCCTGGCATTGGTTACCATGAATCAAAGTGGCTGGGGCACCTCAGGCCGGAAGAAGCTGGCTGCTAACTATGTTCCGGTGCTACCCCTGGCACTCTGGGCTCTGCTGCTGCTTGGAGGCCTGGTCCGCAGTGTTGCCCAGGAAGCACAGGCCGACTGGAGTGGCCCATCCCGGGCAGCTGAGGCCTACCATCTCGCTGCTGGAGCAGGCGCCTATGTAGCCTACTGGGTGGTAATGTTGACTCTCTATTGGGTGGTTGTGCGGAGGCTCTGCAGGCGTCGGAGCGGTGGCTATCGTGTTCAGGTGTGAGTCTGGCCATAAACATGCCCACTGAGGGCTGTAGGGGAGGCAAGAGGAGTCCTGCGGGGTAGCTGCAGGAGCCATGAATTCCATGGGGACTCCCTGGCCTCAGTTTCCCTTCTCCTTGAAATGAGGGAGCCATCCAAGATTCTTGGAATGCATTATTGGAATATATCCAATGGACTGTATTGGAACTCAAAGACTTGTGGGTCTCTGGGGAGGGGTAATTTATTGATCAGGGTGTGTGTTTGTAGGACCAGGGCCAGAAGGTCCCTGTTTTCTCCCTGTTGCTATTTAATGTTTGTACTGTGATTAAGATATAATAAATTTTTTATTTATTTTCTTCCAAGCACCTCTTCCCATTTTTCTTGTCATTGAGAATTAGGGACACAGGGCCCAATAAAGGGTGATGGATTTTGAGCCTCCACTGGGCACTCTTCCTGGGAACATAGGTTCTGTCTTCACACAATACAGGTACTGGAGCTGGGAGATGGCTCAGCAGTTAAGAGCACTGGCTTCTCTTTCAGAGGACCTGAGTTCAATTTCCAGCACTCACATGGTGGCTCACAACCTCTGGAACTTCATTTTAGGGGATCTGGCCTCCGTGGGTGTAGTGCACAGGCATACATGCAGGCAAAGCACCCATACATCTTAAATAAAAATTAAAGAAAACACAAGTATTAGGCAGATGATGTGAGTGAGGCACACCTATAATCCCCATCACCTGGAAGTTGAAGGCAGGAGGATCATGGTCATTCCTATTAGTTTTGTTTCCTGTGGCTGTGAGAAAACACCCTGGCAAAAGCAGCGAAGAAGAAAGGGTTTATTTGGCTAATTCCAGGCCACTGTCCATTTTAACAGGGAAGTCAAGCCAGCAGGAACCTGAAGCAGCTACTCCATCACATCCACAGTCAAGAGCAATAGATTACTGCATACATGCTGGTGGTCAGCTCAGTCTCCTTTTCAATCAGTCTAAGCCCATCCCATAAAATGGAGTCATACAATGTCAATTCACCCAGTTAAAATCACTCACAGTCATACCTAAAGGTAACTCCAACCCAGGTAATTCTATGTGTCAAGTGGACAATCAAAACTAAACATCACACTCTGCTACATAAGGAGTTCAAGGCCACCCTGGTTACACAGAATCTTGTCTCAAAAACCTCCTAAGACTCTCTTGACCTCAATTTCCTCCTAAACTACTGTGCCACTTCCCTTTCTGTGGATAGCAATATTCCATAAAAAACCTTCAATTTCAGTAAGTTGATCATTAAGTAGCCATAGCCAGAATCTAACTTTATATTTTCATCTCTCCCCAGGGGATCCCATACCCACTGGTGGTCACGCCTCATCCCACTGCCCCTCCCACACACACTCAAGGCAGCCACTCATCCTTTGTGAACTTACCTGTTCTAGATCATATAAATGGAAGCGGGCAGTCTGTGGCCTTTTGTGACTTGATTTAGCATAACACTTTCAAAGCTCACCTTAGCCATTGAATCTCTGATTCATTCCTTTTTATTGTTAAGCAGTATACCGTAACAGGACACAAACTATTTTTATCTATCCTATTATCAGTAGATAGATATTTAGGTTGTCTCCAATTTGGGACCTATGATGTTCTTTGGTAGTTTTTTGTGTAGAGTTAAAACTTTAACTCTTGAGTGTACATTTAGGAAAAGAACTGCTGGGTCTTCTAGTTCAATTATTATTTTTTAATATTTCAAAACATTTATTATGTAATAATCATTCATTGTTTTTAAAATAATAATTTATTATTGTTATTATTATTATTATTTTGAGACAGGCTCTCATAGGGCACAGGTTAGCCTCAAACTTGGCAAGGATAACCTTGAGCTTCTGATCCTCCAGCCTTCATCTCCCAGGTTCTGGAATTATAGACATAAAGCAGCACGCTGTGTTCAGGGAGTTCTGAGGATGGAAGCTGGGGCTTTAAATGTGCTAGGCAATTACGCCACTAACTCAGCCACACTTACAGCCTCAGCCATTGCTTTAATTTTGTGTTATCTTTGTGTGTATGCTCATGTATGTGACTGTGACATAGGTGGGGGTCAAAGGACATGTCACCCGAGCATCCAGTCCTTGCTGTCCATCTTCTTTGAGGTAGGGTCTCTAATTCGCCACTACATCTACAAGCCTTGGTGGCTCACAAACGTCTTTGGATTCTCCTGGCTCCATCTCTCATCTTGCCATAGGAGAGCTGGGATACAGAAGCTCAGTGTCTTGTGCCGTTTTACAAAGGTTCTGGGGATCCGAACTCAGGTCCTCATGATTCACTGCAAGTCTTTTGCTCACCAAGACAGCTTTCCAGATCCTAATTCTGGGAAGAAATCACAGATTTTTCCACAGAGGCAACTCCACTTTACCTCATTGCTAGCAAACGTGATGAGGTTTTTGATCTCTCCACCTTCTTGCTAACCTTATTATGTAACACTTTAATTACAAGCTATCCCCGTGGCTGTGGTTTGGTTTCTTTGTAGTTTTGATTTCCATTTTCCTAATGACTAATTTTGACTCCTGTTGTTGGGAAAACCAAACCAATCACATGACCAGCCCTCCCTCCTCACCTCTCCCCCATTCCACAAAATTGGTCATTAAGTTCATTAATGATATCTCCACTGCTAAAACCACGAGCCTCCCATTGAGGTGGCAACTTCTGCAGTCGGTCTGTCGGCTTTCCTCACCCCTCCACGCCCCATGTATGTGTAGGGGTGCATATTGGTTTTTTTGTTCTTTTTGGTTTGATTTGTTTTCTTTTGCTTCTGAGACAGGGTCTCTCTATGAAGCTCTGGATGGCCTGGAACTCACTATGTAGATCAGACTGGCCTTAAGCTCAGAGGTTTCCTGAGTGCTGGGATTCAAGGCATGTGCTATCATAACCTGGCATGGAATGTTTGTCGGGAAGAAACAGGAGCCTCAGCAAACCCCACTCCTCTGTTTTTTTTTTTCCTGGTTCTGTGCTAAAGATGTTGCTTAACTCTTACAGTGCTTCTGAGCATGCATGAAACTGACTTTGACCCAGCACTGCATAAACTAAGAATGTTAGTGTAGACCTTGATCCCTGTACTTGTAATCACTGCACTCGGAGGTCGAAGGATCAGGAGTTCAAGGTTATCTTTGTCCAACCTAGCCAAGGAAATACAAGCTCCAGATTCAGGGAGAAAGTTGGCCTCACAGTAATAGATGGCAAGTGACAGAGCAGGACATCTCAGACTCTCTCTTGGACTCCAGATGCACAGACAGGCAAGCACACCTATTTGCATAATAAAATGGTCATACTCTCACCCAATATAAATATGAAAATGTTTCAAAGCCTTTCTTTGGGTTCCTTTTCATGCAGTCATTAGAGAACCACTTTTCTCATCTGCCTACACGTGGCCTGTTAGTTACTCACCATTATGGCTCTAAGCACCCTAATTACACTTTCCACCTAGAGACAGAATTCCAAAATAGTGTCTAAATTCTAGACTAGTGTATCCAACAGCCTCTGAGATGTTTCCACTTAATAGTTAACTGGCATCTCACACCCAACTCCAAACTTTCCTCCTCTTAATCCATCTCCCTGTCTCAGCCAACACAATAGCATCATCCTAGCTCCCTGGGCCACAGAGTCAAGCTGGAGTAACCACTATAGCTTTCCACTGGCTCGCTGATGCAGTCAGAAACCCATTGGCCAAGTACATTATCAATTCGCAAGGAAAGAGATATAGATAAGCTCACAAGAGAGTCCTAGCCAACACACCAACTATGTTCTGCAATTAAGAATACCAGCATGGTGGCCTAATGCAGAGGTTCTCAACCTTCCTAATGCTACAACCCTTTAATACAGTTTCTTGTGTTGTGGTGATACCTAACCATAAAATTATTTCATTGCTACTTCATAACTGTAATTTTTCTACTGTTATGTAAATGTAAATATCTGATATGTCACCCCTAGGAAAGGGTCATTCAACCCCAAAGGGGTTGCAACCTACAAGTTGAGAAAGCCTGGCCTAGTGGGGAAAGGCTCTTGCCATCAAGTCTGGTAACCTGACCTCAATCCCCAGTACCCACAAAGTAGGAGAGTCCACCCCTGTAGGTTGTACTTTAGCCTCCATGGAAATAAATGAATTAATTTTAAAAATTTAAAAAGACTCCCCAGAAGTGGCAGGCATGGTAGTACACACCTAAAATCCAAGCACTTTGGAAACCAAGATAAGACCCCAAGCTCCAGGCCAGTCTAGGTTAGACACAGAGACCCTGTTCCCAAATTAAAACAAATAAAAATAGTTAAGAGTACCTGCATATTGAATGTGATGTCACATAGATTCTCCCAGCGTTTAGGGAGGATGAAGAAAGAAAATCTTGAGTCTCAGGACAGCTTTGGCTACAAAATAAGACTCTCAACAAAAAATAATAATATTAAGAAGGTGTCTCAGTTGGTAAAGTGCTTGCTGCCTACACACAGAGACCTCAGTCCCTCCTCCATAATCTATGTAAAAACCCAGGCGCAGTAGTGCATGTCTGCAATTTCAGATTTGGGGAGGTAGAGATAAGTGGGGATACCTGGAGGCCAGCAAGTCTAGTTAAGTGGGTGAGTTCCAGGTTCAGTCAGAAACTCTGCCTCAAAAATATTAGCAGGTTTGATTGAAGGAGATGCCCAGCATCAATCTCTGGCATACATGCAGACCAAAAAGAAGGAAAATCCCAGACACACGTGCCTCTGTGACTTCTGTTGCCCTGGAGCAAGTCCTGTACTAATTATAGTTACCTCCAGCTGTAAACACATGCAGCAAGACTTGTCCCTTTCAAGTCATTTGCAGACAGTGGGTAGCTGGTACAGCTCTGGACAGACCAGAATTAGGTCAGGTCCATTACAGAGAATGCGACTGAGCTTTCCTTAGGGTCTTCTTGTCTCTTAGACTCTGCATTCCCATCTGTTGCTGGGTCCATCTTCTGGATAGAATGGAGTTCTGGTTTAACTGAGATATGTTCCCCATGTATTTGAACACTTAATCCCTAGTTGGTGCTATTTGGGGGAGGTTATGGAATCTTCAAGAGGTGGAATCTTGCAGTCAGGCTTTGAGTGGTTCTAGCCTCTCTGCTTTTTCTATTCTCTTCACTGCCTATGTGTAGATGAAACTATGATCAGCCAGCTTCCTGTTCCTGCCTCCATGCCTTTCCCTGACTGCTAACAGGCTTTCCCCACCATAAGGGACTGCCAGTTAGCCTGGAATCATAAGCTAAAATAACTTTCTTCCTTAGGTTGCTTTTGGTCATGGTGTTTTATAACAGCAAAAGAAATGTAATTCTTAGACTGGAGTTACTCCCCCTTCACCCTTGTCCCAGATCTTTGGTTTTTACCTGGTTTCTGCAGCACCTCAAAGTGACACCTCCAAGACTTGAATTTGAAACACCATCCACAGACTTGTATTGCTTGCTCCCTAGAAGATCTCAACATTTGGGAAGACTATGGAGCCTTTCATGAGGTGTGTGGCCCACCAGAATAGTTCACTGGAGACAGGCTCTAAAGGTTTATTAGCCAGACCCCTGATTCCTGTAACTATCCACTTGCTGGCAGGCCACAAACCTGTAATCACACATTCCTACTGCCTCAGATGGAGCTCTTTAACCCTGCCAAAACCTAAGAGATCCAAAACCATGCTGGAGCTCCTCAGCCCTACCCAAACCTAAGAGATTTGAAACCAGAAGCCAAAATAAAGCAGCCCTTTCTTGTTTTTGCTGGGTACTGTGGTTACAGAAACAGGGAAGTAGCTGATACAGTAGCTGTGTAGTGTATGACCTTCCATGGCTCAGTGTGGTGATTCAAATGAGGAATGTCCCCCATACGTTCACACATATTGGTTCCCTTATTCCTGTTGTTGGTGCTGTTTGGGGAATGTTATGGAACTTTGGGGGTAAAGCCTTGCTGGAGGATGCATGTCGCTGTCGATGGCCTTCCTGAACCTATAACCTCATCCATCTCCCAGTTGGCTCCCTTGGCTTCCTCTGCGCATTGAGATGTGATCTCTCATCTGCCTGCTGCCATATATCCCCTGTCCTCATGGCCTATCCCCCTGGAACTGTAGGCTAAACTGAACTTTCTTCTATAAGTTGCTGTTGTCCATGTTTTGTCGTAGCAACAGAAAATTAACTAACACACTCAGAAAACTGTCGGTGGCTCAAGGCAGAGGAAAATTGAAACCTTGCACTGGGAAATATCCTGCACAACCTGCTCCACCTTTCCCTTTCCCTCCAGGCTTTCTGACCTCACAGTGTGTTCATTTCCAAAAACTCTGCTTCAGCCTCTTCTACATCCCTGCAACTGCTGCACCGGAGCTCACAAATATGTACATAGCTTGAGCCTCCCAGTCCTTCCTCAAATGTCTCTTTCCCAGTCAGTCTCCAGAGCCAACTGCCACTGTTCTTCAATGTTCCAAAACTCTCCCTTATCTTTCCCTCACAAATATTGTGTTTTACTTCATTCTTGTCTACTGTCCATGACATAAGCAATACAGAGGTTTGGGAAATGGCTCAGTCAGAAAGTGCTTAGTATGCAGCAGGAGGACGTGAACCCAGATGCCCATCGACTAGGAATACCAGCACATGTAATCCCAACTATGGGGAGGCAAAGCCACAGTGTGCCTGAGAAGTACTGGCAGGCCTGTCTAGATTAATCTTAAAGGTCCAGAGACCTTGTTTCAAATTATAAAGTGGAAATCAACTGAGGAAGACCCTTGATATCAACCGCTGTCCTCCACATGTACTGTGTACCCACACACATGTGCACAGAGCACATTCAGAAAACGAAAGAAGGGTAGATGGAAGGAAGGACACTAGTGATATAGAGCATTGTCACTAGCAAGACTAAGCCATGTTTAGAAGAAGACTCAGCCTTTCCTATCATCATAGGAGGGGAAAAAGACCTGGGGGGTGCTTAATAATCGTGTCTAGGGCTAGGAGCATATACCTAGTTGGCACAGTACATACCTAACAGGCGCAGAGCATTCCGTTCTGCCTCCAGAACTGTATAAAACTGGGACCAACGGTGCACACCAGTCTTACCACTACTTGGGAGGTGGAGGCCAGAGGATCAAAAGTTCAAGGTTATCTGAGTTTTAGGTGATCCTTGACTACAGGAGACTGCATCTCAAAAACTAGCCTTCTATCATGCCTATGTGGAACAGGGACACACACACACACACACACACACAGACGGACAACATAAGGAGTAGGCACTAGCCAGAGAGAGTGCCTGTGCAATGGGCAGGAAGTGAGGTCATAAAGTTCGAAGAGAAGTCATTTCAAGATGGAGGAAGAGCCTTGGTGAATGTTCAGACATGGAACACATCTCTCAAAGTTCAGGGGACCAAGGCTGAGGCCACCCGAGCTGAAATGAAACAAAGAAGACATGAGAGGACATAGAAGCTATATAATAAAACAGTGTTGGTTTTGGATGGTTGTCATGGGTATTTACTGGGCCAATGTAATGGTAGAAATGAGCAGGGGGCAGGAGGGATAAGAAAAAAGGAGGTCATGAGGAAAGAAGGGGGGAAACAAACACATTATTGTGAATAGGAAACATGTACCAAGACCATGGGGGAGGCTGAGAATTTTAAAGGATACCACAGGCAGAAAAGGGAACTGCAGGGTAGGATGGGAAGCTCTCTTCCTTGGTAGGCACAAGGCTAGGAAGACCAATATGGGACAGAATCTTGAGCTTTGGAAATTTTAACAAGTAGGTTTGATTCCAGTGACAACAGAAGCCACTGATGGGTTTAGGGCAGAGAAGTAACCCATTGTGACAAAATACTAGATTGGAAACTAGTGGGGATCTGAGTACATGCCCCAGAACCTGGGTGTAAAAAGCATGCAGTTGTAATTCTAGGGCTGGTGAGGTAGTGGCATGTTGATTCTTAGGACTTGCTGGTCAGCTAGCCTCATCAGGCAAGTCCGAGCTATTGAGAAATGCTGTCTCCAAAACAGAGTGGATCGTGCCTGCAGACTGACACTTGAGGTTGACCTCTGGCCTCCACATGCACATGAATGTACACAAAAGTACCCCACCACACCCACACATAGCAAGAAACCAGACTAGGCATGTAACTCACCTCTACAGTACCTGTCTAAAATGCACAGTAAGGGGCTGGAGGTGTGCCCCAGTGCTAGAGACACTGCCTAGTGACAGGGGCTGAGGGTGCACCTCAGTGGTAAAGCCCTATCTAAAATATTCCAGTAAGTAGCTGGGGTGTGGCTCAGTAGTAGAGCTCCTACCTAGAATCCCCCAGTGTGGAGCTAGGGCTGTCATCCCAGTGGTTTCTGCATTAAACTGCTAGAAGGCTATAGGTGCTTTTTCTTAAAAGAAGAAAGCCTTGTTTGACCTTTTTTTTTTTTGAGGGGGTTTGGGGAGAAGGATACCATATATACTCTGAGAGTATCTTCTACAGATGGAAATGTCAAGGAGTCTGCAAGAGAACGGATAAGGGTCTGCGCTGGTGGTGCCCAATGGTGCCAACGAAGAGCCCCACAAACCGATAGCTTGCGTCCTGTCACATGGGTCCATACACCTAAGCATTTGGGGGTATTTTGTCTGTCTTCCTCCGCAGGTAAGCAGTGACCTCGTCAAAAAAAGAGAGAGAGAATCCAGAACTAACTGAAATACATTCTTTATTTCAGGGATGAATGTCAGATCAGGACAGATACCCTTGTTAGTCGCCACTTAAGTACCATCGAAAAAACACCCTGGGAAAACAATGGAATGTGTGCTGTAGGAGGGCCCAGGGACAGAAACACATTTGGGTTTCAAAGTGCAAAGAGCCTAGACCTGAGTCTGCACGAAGGCCTGGTGTCAGGACCATATAAGGTTATGAGACATAAGGACAGAGACCTGGATTTCTCAGCCTGAGCAAGAAGGGCTAGGATCTCAGAAGGAAGGGCTTGGATCTCAGAAAAAAAGGGTTAGGACTCCTAGGTCTTGGAGGGTGGGGACTAGACTCCCTAGGTCTGAGATAAGACCTGAGTACGACTGAGGGAGGAGGCTGGGGTCGTGGGGCGGAGGCCTGAGGCGTGGACAAGAGGAGCTGGGGGAGGGGAGGGTGGAAGCTGGCACTCACCACACTAGCACAGTGACACTAGCAGACACGAATGCAGCGGTAGCCGCGATCAGGAACAGGTTGCCAAGCGTCAGAGCCGAGGGCCTGGCAAGCAGTTCGCCTAGGCTGGGCCTCCAGGGCTCGATTGTTTCCGCCTCCCGCGGTGTCCAATTCATCACTTCCCGGAACGTGACCTGGAGCTCAGTCTCCCCAGGAGGAGGAGGGCCAGTCACTGCCGGGGCACGCAAGTTAGGGGGCGGAGTCCCGCCCTTGGCCCCACCTCACATCCTCGCCCCGCCCGCACCGTTCAGATAGAAGTAGAGCCGCGCCAGGGGGCGCTGGTCGTGCAGGATCACGCAGGAGAAGGTCCCCCGGTGCGTGGGTTGCACTGGCCGGATTCGCGCCAGGTACCCGTGGGCGCCTGGCACATCACGGAAGTAGGACACGTCCTGAGTCCGGAGCTGCGAGATGGAGGAGCTCAAACGCACCCGGACTCAGCCAGAACGGCAAGCCCCTCCCAGACCTGACTCAGCTCACAAGCCTGACTCTTTTGGCTGCCCTAAGCAACCCTTCCCGGCATCCCTTAAAGTCTGACTCATAATGCACATCTAAGCACCGGTCTTCCATATACTTAACCTTGGTCTCTCTTCTCACACTAAACCCAAACCCTACGCCCAGTGCTCTGAACTTAGCCTCCTCTTTCCCTGGAGCAGAGCCGACCCCTTAAACCCGCCAGCTGGCCGTCTCGACTCACACCTCCTGCCGCGAATTTCCAGGAGTAAGTGAGCTCCGATTCTGGCAATTGGAAGCCCACGATACAAGAAAACAAAGCCTGATCCCCTCGCTTCACCGTCACGTCCTGAACTGGAGAGAGGCAAGGTGATCCTGGTAGGCCTGCACAAGCCTCGCCCTTTCCCTGGCATCCCGGCGCCGCCCCCTCACCTGGACAGTCTAGAGGGAGGTCACAGACTGTGGAGAAGCAGCCCCAGCAGTGGAAACGCCTAGTGGCCTCCTGGACGCCTGTGAGCCGAGACCAGGAGCGTTGGGCTCCCCTCCTGTCGTCCTCCCCCCCACCCCCCCCCACCCCCCGCAGTCTCCTGACCAAGTTTCTGAACCTTCTTGAATCTATGGGGAATCCCAGGGTTCTACTGGGAGGTGGAAGATAGATCGCACCTTTTCTGCATTGTTTAGATCAGTCTGTCCAGTCGGCCCCTGGGCTACTTACTGGCTTGTTAGCCTGTTTTCTATACAGCAGCATTTACCTGGTGTGTGTGTGTGTGTGTGTTATAACCACTGGGAATGGGATTATGCATGCTAGCTAAACTCTCGACCACTGTACCATGCTCCCAGTCCCCACTTGGGAATTCTAGTAAAGTCTACCACTAAGAACCCAGAACCCCCCAGGAGTCTAGGCAGGGCATCTACCACTGACCCACGCCCCCAGCCCCTGGCTGGGAGATTCTAAACAAGTGCTCCACTGCTAAGCTATATATACCTTCAGAATTCTTTTTAGAATTTTGTTTTGAGACGGGGTGCCCCTAAGTTGTCCCACATGGCCTAACTCAGTGTAGCCCAGGCTGGCCTTGGATGTGTGATCTTCCTGTCTAGGCCTCTGGAGTAGCTAGGATGACAGGCCTTCACCAGCAGTGCCTGCTTCTATGAAGTTTGTGAATACCTAGATGATGCACTTTTCTATTGGTTTTCTTTGGATCTAAGGCCTACTCCATCTTAAGTTCCAGATTTCCACCCCAGCTTCCCCTGCTGTTTTTAGGTTTGGGACTAAGTCCTTACCACAAGGGAGGATGCAGTCCTGGACTGTGGAGAGAAAAGAGGCATTAGGACCCAGGTAGTTGACAGACCTACCTAAAGCCCCTCCAGAAGGTATTAGAGGCAGGGAATCCTCTCCTCTGGAAAACAGGCCTAGGCTACTAATGGAGCACTTGGAGGGGAGAATAGAGCATGTAGTTCCTACAGGGCAGGGCCAAGTCCACAGTACTTCATGTTTAAGGCTTGTAGCTAATCATCTATGAAAAGGGAAATGGGGGGAGGGGAGACCGAGGAAACAGGAGACTTGAGGAGGAATGAGCCTTGAGGTATTAATTACCCCTGGGGGTGGGAGTAGATCTCAGGCAGTCCTTCAAGGAGTGAGCACCTAATTAGTAGGCCCAGTTAGAGAAGCACCAACTTGAGAGGATGCTTTTGAGCACAGGGAGAGAAGCAGATCCCAGAAGAGGCCTGGGCAGATATGGGGTAGGACTGTCACATGATCTGTCCTGGGATAGGAAATCCACTGGTCCCAGGGCTTAGGCTGGATTCAGAGTGTGTGTGGTGTATTGTGTGTCTTCAGGGCTTGGAAGTGGAGGCTGGTTTACCTTTTTTAAGGTGATGAATGGTCCTCTTCATTTTTGCTGCAGCACTAGGGAACGCAGCCTTAAAGGACCCTGGAGGATGAAGCAGGGTGGATATACTAACAGTGCTTTCCCTATGGCTGAATAGTCAGGACTTGTTGTCTCTCCCATAAGCACATGCTGTGTTTCTGCCTCCCACAGGTCCAAAGCGAAGGCTGGCAAACTTCTACAAGGTGTTCTTTCTGCCTCCTGAGAGCACCATACATTTATATCTTAGTGGGAAGGGGAGGATAATGATCAACTCTTCTGCAGGGCTTACTAAGCCCTACAGTGATGGCTGTCTCCTCTTTCTCTGCTACAGCTGCTCTTGTCCACTTTCAATCTCCAGGTTACCTGGCACCGTTAATTTGTTTATAAACATCTTTGCCCAGCTCTCCATTATTCTACATATCTTACCATCTCATGTGTCACTGCAAGGGTTTGATTACCCCAAATCTTTACTAAAGTCACCGACTTTTATCTCTCATTGTGCCTCATTCACAGTGTACATAGGCTTCACCAGTTTGCAATTACACATATGCCAATTAGATTGTGTATGTAAATTAGGCGTGTAAATTAAATGTTTACATATGGTAACAGCATAAATCCATGTTATTAGTATTTTGTTTTGTTAAGACCACTGGCTGCTCTTCCAGAGGACCCAGGTTCAATTTCCAGCACCCACATTGCAGCTCATAACTGGTACTCCAGTTCCAGGGGATCTGACACCTTCACAACAATGCATATAAAAATAAGGTTAAATATAAATAGATAGACAGACAGACAGATAGATAGATAGATTTTAAAAAGTGGCTCACTATGTTCCAGGCTAGCCTAGACCTCTCCATGTCGACCAAGGAGGCCTTGAACTCAAGAGATCTGCCTACTTCTGCCTCCCCAGTGTTGGGATTAACGGTACACAGAACCACACCTGGCTCCTTTTTTTTTTTTTTTTTTTTTTTTTGGTTTTTCGAGACAGGGTTTCTCTGTGTAGCTTTGCGCCTTTCCTGAAACTCACTTGGTAGCCCAGGCTGGCCTCGAACTCACAGAGATCCGCCTGGCTCTGCCTCCCGAGTGCTGGGATTAAAGGCGTGTGCCACCACTGCCCGGCCTTTGTTATGTTTTTAATTAATGATTTTTGTTCTCTGAGAATTTCATACATGCATGGACTGGAGCACGGTGAACCTACCAACCTACCAGGGACTGCATGTACCTTTGAAGACAACTGGCTCTCCCTCCTCCCTATCAGTAGCACCTCCGTTTGGGGAGGCTTGTGAGCCCCTCCCCCACAGCACTGGAATGTTGACCGACTTGATCTTGTGCAGGCAACCACAGCTGCAGTGAGCTCAGGAGTACATTGGTCCTGTCATGTCCAGAACACACCACTTAGTCTAGTCCTCCCCAACCTCTGACTCTTCACGTTTCAACCCTCTCTTCTCAATGTTCCCCAAGCTTCCACCTCTTGAATTCTCAGCATTCTCAGAAACACACAGGAGGGCCCCAGGTCTTACAAAACAGCTCAGTAAGTGTATGTTGAGTGAATTCTAGAGTCCAGCAGGAACTGTAGGTCACGAGCAGTGGCCTTAGACCCAAATGCATCACCTGGATGTGGTAAAAATCAGACAGGAAAGTGTTCCTTTTCCTCTTCTTTCTTTCCTTTTTTCAAGATAGAGTTTCTCTGTGTAGCCCTGGTTATCCTAGAACTCACTTTATAGACCAGTTGGGTGGGCCTTGAACTTGGAGATCCACCTGCCTATGCCTCCCAAGTGTTGGGATTATAAAGGTGTGCACAGTGATCGCTGGCTTGTTTCTTTTTCTATATACGAACTGGTTACCAATATATATCTTTGGGACAGTCATACAAAATTTTGATATCTTTGCCAGGCGCCGATGGTGCACACCTTTAATCCCAGCACTCAAGAGGCAGAGCCAGGCTGATCTCTGTGAGTTCAAGGCCAGCCTGGTCTACAGAGTGAGATCCAGGACAAGCACTAAAACTACACAGAGAAACCCTGTCTGGATAAACCAAAAAAAAAAAAAAAAAAAAAGTTTGATATCTCAGCCGGGAGGTGGTGTTACATGCCTTGAATCCCAGCAATTAGGAGGCAAAGGCAGGAGGATCTCTGAGTTCAAAGCCAGCCTGGTCTACAAAGTGAGTTCCAGGACAGCCAAGGCTACACAAAGAAATCCTGTCTAAAAAATAAAAAAAAATGAAAAAAGGGGGTGGAGCAAGGGGAGCTGAAGAGATGGCTCTGCAGTTAAGCCAATGTCTTGTAGAAGATCCAATTTTATTTCCCATCACCCATGTCAGGAGTTTCACAACCATCTGTAACTCCAACTTCAGGTCATCTGATGCCCTCTTCAGGCGTTCAAAGGCTCCTGCTTCTGCACTCACATGCACCAACACCCCAGCCCCCATCCATATAATTAAAAATAAAATAAATCTTAAAATATAACTAAATGAACTGATTGCCAACACACAAAACAGGTCACAAAAATGCTTAGCATCTTTTAAAAAAAAAATGCACAAAGCTAGAAAACATAACCCACAGTGCCATAAGGCAGCAATTAGCAGGTCAATGACCAGCACTCCCTTTAAACAGAGCATTTCCCAGTCCTTCCCCAACCACCATTCATTTCTACTCCTCCACTCTTTTATGTTCTGAGTCCTTGATTCTTACCACCAAGTACCCTCCAGATCATGAGGTGGAGCTCACCAGAGACCAGCAACAAGGTCGGCAGGCCTTCTGGTGGAAATGGTTCTATGACAGTGTTCACCCCACCCCACTCATATGTGAAATCCTAATCCCCAGTGCAGTATGGAAGAATGAGACAACATTCTCAGAAGGGTTAAAATGATGTCATTTAGGTGCACCTTAGACTCGTACAATAGTTCATCTTTATTGTCAATTTCACAGAATTAAGAATCACCATGGAAACAAACCTCTGGGCCTGTCAAGGGGTAGGAAAACCCACTCTGTATGTGGCTGGTACCATTTCATTGCCTGGGGGCCCAGATGGAATCAAAAGGAGAAAGCTGAACACACCCGCATTCAACTCTCTCTGCTTCTGGACTGTGTATGCAATGTGGTCAGCCACCTCAGGCTCCTGCTGTGTCTTGCTGTCACAATACACCAGTAGTTCTCAATCTTCCTGATGCTGCGACCCTTTAATACAGTTCCTCATGCTGTGGTGACCCCCAATCATAGAATTATTTTTGTTGCTACTTTGTAACTGTAATTTTGCTACTGCTGTAAATTGTCATGTAAACATCTGTGTGTTCTAATGGCCTTAGGCGACCCTTGTGAAAGGATCCCAAAGAGGTCATGCCCCACAGGTTGAGAACCACTGGACTACTCTAAAACAGTGATCTAGAATAAGTGTTTTCACCATTAAGGTGATTGTCAAGTATTCTGTCACAGCAGTGAGGGCGATGACCAAAATATACATGTGTATGAAACTGTCAAAGAATTGAAGGTATTACGGAAAAGATGGTACATTGTTGTCTACAAGGAGAATACCACCAAAGCCAAGAAGCTAGTTCAAAATGAACAATCTGAGGTCATTCTCCTAACCACAAGAGCAGGAATATGATCTAGAGATGGTAGTACTGTAAGGAGGATATAGTCAGAGTGGAGCCCTCAATGAGAGGCCTGGATGCTGAAGGCCTTACCCAAGATACATCTAGGAGCCAAATCAATGACTCACAGGAGGGTGCCAGTGGGTGGGACATATCAAGTGCACCAGAGACCTGTGAGGTGGACAAGGGTAGGAGAGGTTTATATATATCTTGTACACATGGGGGGTCAGGAGTAAAGGGAAATATCCTAAACAGGGTAAATGGAACATGCAATATGCCAACTGAATCATAATGGTACAAAAGGTGCTGCAGTTTCCCTGGTGAGGGGCATGTGTTAGGAGCTCTGACACTGGATTTCAGTCCTGGCATGTACAGCTGTTGAGTACATCTGTTTCACACTGAGGTACATCTATCCACAGATCATAAGTCTGCCTCCACATGTGAGGCTGATCAGGTGACAACTCTCTGGTTCTCAGTTTCCCCATGCATAAAACAGCAATGGTGGCAGTGTCTACCATAAAGACATGGGCGGTGATGGTGCATGCCTTTAATCCCAACACTCAGAAGGCAGAGGCAAGCAGATCTCTGTGAGTTCAAGGCCAGCCTGGTCTACAAAGTGAGTTCCAGGACAGGCTCCAAAGTTACACAGAGAAATTGTCTCACACACACGCCCCCCCCCCCCGCCCCCCAAAAAAAAGATGTGTGGGCAGGATTGAATGCTATGAGCAACGGAATCTTTCATTCTCAGCTGTCCTGTAGTCTGCTTTGGAGTATAAGCCTTGAGTCTAAGAGCTTCTGCCTATACAGAGAATCATCTACTACTACCCCCTTCAAATCTGAGATTCGGAAACTGAGGCATGAAGAGGTTAGAGAAGTTAGATGTCGTGACACAGGCTCTTGGGGAGGCTAGGAGGATCATGAGATCAAGGCCAGCCTGGACTATGTAGTGAGACCTTCCCTCAAAGCAAACAAAAAGGATAAACAAACATCAAGGCCACATAATCACTTGTAAAACTCGGACCTCCATACTTCGCCATTCACGCACTGTTTTTAAAAATGACTTACTTTTGTGTCTGTCTGTGTGAGTGTGTGCATAAACGTGCAGGACACGCATCTGTTCATACCTAGTAAGTCACAACGCAGTGTCAGGTGTCCACCTATGTTACCCTGCCTATTCCTCTGAGGCAGGGTCTCTCTGATGCTCTAATTAATGTGTTCTCAGGGAAGCCAGCAAGCCCCACCAAGGCTCTTGCCTTCATTTACTTTGGGCCTGGGGTTGTAAGAGTGTAAGGGTACACCACACTTGATGGTGCTGGGACTAAAACTAGTCCACATGACTGCACATCAGGCACTCTGAACCACTGAACCATCTCTCGATAACCCCACCCCACCCCTCTTTGTTGACAGGGTCTCACGTAGCCCAGAGTAGTCTCCAGTAAATTCATGTACATATACACATGATAAAAAATAAAACAGCCTGGAGACATGGCTAAGCAGTTAAGAGTACTTGCTGTTTTGGCAGAGGACCCAGGTTCAGCCAATATCCACATGGTGGCTCATGACCACATGTAACTACAACTCCAGGGGATCTGACACCCTTTTCTGGCCTCTTCAGGCACCAGGCATGAATGTGGTACACAGACATGAGTGTAGGCAAACATTCATACACATAAACAAGTAAGTAAAAATGGAAATTCATTTGTTTCATAATGTTTTACAGTCTGAAGGTTGAGTTCACACTATTTTGAGTGGGCCTGAGTTTTACCTGTGGCCTGTCATGTGATGTTATGTGGAGCTGAGATGACATTCAAAAAGGCTTTGTATTTTGAAACATTTCGCGCGCGCGCACGCACACACACACACACACACACACACACACACACACACGTATGTCACTGTTTTATTTTGTCTGTTTTTTTTTACTCTGTGTATGTAACCTAGGCTCCTTCAACCCTACTGCCTCAGCCTCCCAAATACTGGTATTGTGTGAGCCACTGCCACACCTGGATAATTATTTTTCTTTAAGACAGGGTCTCTTGTATGCTGGGCTGGCTTCAAATTCACAACATAACCGAGGATGATCCTCCTGCCTGCCTCCACTGAGTGCTGAGATCACAGACATGTGGGACCAAGAAGTATACTAGCGTCTGGGGATAAAACCCATGACTCGTGTATAACAGGCAAGTACTCTACCAACTGAGCTACATCCCTAGCCTTTAAAAATTCTTTTCCACTTTGTAGTCAAAGGTGCTCTCAACTCTTGACCTTTCTGCTTCATCCACTGCCCTGACATTGGAGTGATGAGCCACATCTAGCTTAGAAACAGTTCAGCTTTCAGATTACTGTACTAAGGATATCCAACCTATACTCACATTATAAGCTTATGGTGTGTGTATATAGAGACATTATCATCTGTATAACCTCCAAGAAACGGTACTAGTCTGACTCATCCAATGCACAATTATCCTAATTCCTGACTACACATCTTCAAGCCCAGCTCAGTCCTAACTTTTCCAATTGGAAGGTAGGGCTGTGAAACTCCACATCACAGGGGTGATAATGGAATATCCCTTAGGAGAATAATTAGCATAAATGACGATGCAGGAGTGTGGGAGCCCGTTCTCGGGTTCCTCGTGGCTTTACCCAGCAGGTCCACATAGAGGATGATTAGACCACAGGCCTAAGTGCAGGTGTCTGGGATGGTCTGCACTTGGCTGTGCTGGGGGAGGAGGTCTTTTGCTCCACCCCTTGACGTCTCTATAAAAACCCTGGAGCAGAGACAGTCGGGGCCCGTTGGAATAGGTTCCAGGCCCTCTCGAGGCTATCCTTTATTTTCTATCTGTTTATCTCCGTGATATTCTCCGCAATAAATCCTTCTATCTAATATTTCCTGCTGCTCGCACTCAAGAAAACTCTGGGGAACTGTGGGGGTGGTTGGGTAAACGCCCCACACAGGAGACACAGACCTCTAGGCAAATGCTCTACAGCCTAGCCATAGCTCCAGCCCTTCGCTGCTGGATTCTACGTGAGGGCTTTATTACAAAGCCATAACCCTAGAACCTCACTGGTGGATTCTACACAGGTTGTCTACCCCGAGCCACACTCTCAACCTCACACTTTATTGGCTGTTTTTATTGTCTGTGCTCTGCCCTTAAATACAAGCATCTCTAGAACAGAACATTTGCAGTTTTGGTCCCAGCTCTGACTCTACAGGTAGTTCTGGAATATTCCATCAGCCTCTGTCTGAGGAACTTACTAGGCTAGTCTCTCCCAGTTTTCAGTCTTTCCTTCTGTGGGGTCCCAGAATCTCTGTCTACACCTAGAGCAGCAGAAGCTCCTCTACCCTGCTTATATCACTCTGTGCTTTTCCAGGTCCCTCAGGACATCTTGACTGATCCGACATCCAGGTTTCTAGATCCCTTGTGGATGTCACCAGGATCCCTGTGTGGTTACTGTGTTATAACCCTAATCATCTGTCCGCAGTCCAGCTCTGGCGTCCATGCACCCCATCTTAGAGATGTCACTCCTAAGAAGTCAGACCCTAGGTGAAGGCACTCCTATAACCCCACCTTTTTCCTTTCCCTGTCATAGACCACCAGATCTTGGCCCACTTTTCTATTTCCTAGTCCCTCCTCTTCACGATGGTCTCAGATCTGTGTCACAGGCCTCCTCTCTAACCCCAGCTTCCATCTGCCCCCAAGTCTCTGTGCCACACTAGAAAGATCTTCTACTCCTAGGTATGCACTTGGTAGCTTTTTCCAAGTTTCAAAAAGGAGACAAGCCCAGGTAAGAACAGACAGCATCCCCCAGAATCCTGCATTTCTTCCATCTCTCAGTTTCCTCAAATTCTTCTTTGGGATTGGGGACACACAGAAAATCCTCTTCCATGATGGTCCTGGACACCCACTGAATCAATGGGCCCTTTGTTTGGGAGGGTTTTGATATCAAACTTAGTAGGAACAACATGAACCATTGAAGATGAAAAAAAAAAAAAAAAAAAAAGGCCATGAACTCCCAGATCCTTGGGAGCGGCCAATTTATTCTTAAATTAAACAAAAATGACTTCTCACACTGCCATACATACAACTACATAGAAGACTGTGTGCTCTGTGGCTGGGGTGACCTGGTGTGATTGTGTTTACATGTCCCCAGAGCCTTAAGGGCTGCTCCATACAGCTACATGGGCATGCTCTTCCCTGATGTCCCAAGCAGCAGTCTGGCTGACTCTCCAAGTCTGTGCCCTGAATGGCTAGCTCTACTGCTCTTACCTGTCTTTGTTAGCCATGAAAAATATATGTGTTTGTGTCTTGTCTAGATTTTTTTTTGTTTTGTTTTTGTTTTTGTTTTTGGAGACAGGGTTTCTCTGTGTAGCTTTGCGCCTTTTTTTTTCTGGAACTCACTCTGTAGCCCAGCCTGGCCTCGAATTCACAGAGATCTGCCTGCCTCTGCTCCAGAGTGCTGGGATTAAAGGCATGCGCCACCACCGACCGGCAGGAAGGATTTTTTTTTTTTTTTTTGGTTTTTTTTTGAGACAGGGTTTCTCTGTGGTAGCTTTGCGCCTTTCCTGGAACTCGCTTTGGAGACCAGACTGGCCTCGAACTTACAGAGATCTGCCTGCCTCTGTCTCCCGAGTGCTGGGACTAAAGGCGTGAGCCACCACCGCCCAGCTGTGTCTTGTCTTAACAAATTACGTCCTCCATAACACCTGTCTCAAAAAGACCCATTCCCTCCCAATGAGCTCTGAGTACTCTGGGAGATAAAGAGAACATCTCACCCTAGGAGATGAGAATGTTCTACCTTATAGGTAAGTGGAGCCCAGGTGAGAGGCAGGGACACACCCAGACTTCAGAGCCCAAATGTGAGAACACAGATAGGTCACATGGACTTGACCCCACAGGGCTTCAGACTTTGTGACTTCTACGCCTCCCTGGGTTCCTTGCTGTCTTTGACTCTACTCACCTCTGCACTTTCCCCAACAAATAATCTAATTCACACAGGCTTCCAGTATCACTCCCTCCAACCAGAGGAATCACTTATGCCTTCACATAGTCCTGGGCAAGGGGGTGGGAGGGGAAGCCAAATTCCATAAAAACACTCACCATGAGCTGCAGCCACCTCCTGGAGGGAGAGGGTCATCTGTGTAAATGCATCATGCAGGTGGCTCCGCTCATCATAGTCTGAGGGTGGACGAGAAGCAGGCTGAGGAAGCACTGTGGCACACATCTGGTGCCGGGTACTTTCTATGTCTGACTCGTGGCTGAAAGTATTCACCCCACCCCCACCCCAGGGTCTAGGTGCCCTCTCTGGAGAGAGAATACTTTCTCTCTCTGGGTTTCTATTCCCAGCTCTAAGCCCCAGTCTGGATATCTGTCCCTCCCTCTCTCTAGTCTTTCCTTATCTTTCTCTCTAGGTCTCTGTCTCTGTCACACCACCCTGGATCTGTTTCTCCCTGTCAGTCTCTACTCCAACCTGTCCTACCTCTGGATCACTGTCTCTCTCTAGGTCCCTGGCCACCTCTCTGTCAGCCCCTTTCTCCCTCACTCTGGGTCTCTCTGTCTATCTTCAGGTCTCTGATCTCCCCACTCATCTGTGTCCCCATCCATACCCTCCTCTCTCTGAGCAATGCTCCTCCTACTCTTTCTAGTTTTCCATCTCTTTTCTTGTAATTCTGTCAAGGCCCTCACTGTCCTTAGTCTCGCTCTGAGGCACTGTCTCCGCCCCTCTCTGAATATGTTTCCTTCCATTGCTTCCCCCTGTCTCTCTTCCCTGCGTCTCTGCCATGATCCTGTACTTAGCTTTTCTTCTTGGAGTCGCTCAAGGTCTCTCCTGCCCCTCCCCATGGCCCTGGATCAGGGAGGAGGGTCTCCTCACTGATTTCCATGTCTGAGAGACCCTCAAAGGCAGCTGTGAGAGCATCTTTACACTGGCCCAGCTTGGAGCCCTCTGTGCCCACAAACATCTGGCAGACACGGAGGCGTTCCTCATGGGTAGTGAAGCAGAAGAGGCAGGCCCACGTGGATGCCCTGAAGATCAGTGGGAACAGGACACTGCTCCCCATCAGGGCAACAAGGGCCATCTCAGAGGGTCTCTGGATCTGAGGAGAAGCTAGTAACCTTTGTGAGGTCACTGTGGGGGAGGGGGAGCTGTGGCCTAAGATCAGAGATCCTCTTTCAGCTGGTGGTCAAGTGCCAGGCTCCATCTAGAGGAAGGTTGTCAGGGGTCACTTGCAATCCCTACATTTGTGGCTGAGCCAGGCGCCAGGCTCCCAAGAACCTCACCTGTGACCCTGGACGTCCTCACAGGTTAAAGGGTCTCAGGGACCCAGAGGCCGGCAATTTAGCTATGGTGGACCAGAAAAGCTCTCTTCCCCAGAGGTGGGAGCAGGGAAATGAGAAAAAAACACAGATACACGGAGTCCCTGAAGACAGAAAACGAGCAAAAAAGACAGAGAATCCAGGAGAGATATCAAGAGGCCTTGAGACCCACAATGTCACAGAGATAGATTCACAGCACTAGAGAAACAGAAGCTTCTAGAACCCCGGAGACAGTGGGGTAAGAGACAGAGACAGAAAACGTGGAAATCTGATGGCAGAGAGACGGCAAAGAAAAGGGCTAGGACACAGGGTGTGGACAGAGAAGACACCCCAGCTCCTCCTAGGAACTCTGGGGCAGTGGTGTGGACTTGAGGTCCCCGCCGGCCCCTTCCCGTGCTGGGCGCAGCCTGGGGAAAGCTAGGAGGCCGTATAGTGATCTCCTCGGGTGTCTTCCTCAACTATACAACCTCCTACCTCAGCCCGGGGGGCGCGGCAGGTGGGCAGATTGACAGATGGAATGATGGGGGACCAAGAGAAGTAAGGAGGGTGGGGAGGGCCGGGGAGGTCCCAGCCGCGATGGTGAGCCCCCGACACGGACCCACAGACACGAGCTTGTGTGCGGCGAAGGCCCCGCAAGGTCGGTTCTACGGGTGGGTGCCAGGACCCAGGAGTCCGGGCCCCCGGCCCCCTCCTCCTCCCCAAGGAACCCAGGAATTCAGTCCCAGCTCTTCTCGCACAATCTAGGCCCCATTCCCCCTCCTTCAAAGCCAGGGATCCAGACTCCAGGCCCCCTCAGATCCAGGTGTACTGGCTCCAGACTTCCTACCACAGAGTCAGAGGTCCAGGTCCCCGTCCTCCCTCAGATCCAGTGCTCCACACCCAAGAGCCCTCAGACTCAGTTCTCTGTCACACACAGGGGTCCAATTCCTAACACTCTTACCTCAGACTCAGGGGTCAATCCCCCACCCCAGACCCTGGGTACAACCACAGGAATGTTCCTTAGAGGCGGCACCCTGGGAAGAGAGCTGGCTTTTGGAGTGCTGGAGGGAGAGGGCCTCGTTTGTCTTGGTAATCTGCCCCCCTCCTGAAACCCCTCAAGGTTTCGGACCCCCAGACCTGAGTTTCAGGGCTCCTGGGTACCAGGAATGCTCATGAGCCTCTCAGAACAATCCGTCCCTTCTACCTTCCCCCCACTCTGAACCTTTAGGGTGACAGCTATGACCCAGGAGTAATGACACCAACCAGGGTCCTGTCTCCTAGACTCCTCCAACTCAGGGATGAGGCTGTTACCTGCACCCCTGAGCCCGGAAACCACTTGGCCAAAGTCGGTCGGCTGCAGGTGGGAGGGGCCCTAGGATATGCACCCACCCTGAGGCTGAGCTCAGAACTGGTCCTCTGGGGCTCCCAGGTTCCATGTCCATCTTGTTTCTCTCCGCCCGTTTTTTCTTACCCTGCCCATTCCCAGTTCTCCCTCTTTCTTTCTCAGTGTGTATCTTCCTTGTCTAGGCTCTCCTCTCCTGCCATATCTGCACGCCTGGTCCTCACTCGTCTCTGTTCTGGCTGCCCCTCTCCTCTTCCTCATCTCCTATCTTCCATATCTACCTCTCACGTCTCTCCCTCTCTTTCACTGTCTTCTTTCGCCTCCTCCTTTCCTGGCTTTGTCTCTCATTTTCTCTATCTGAATTCGTCTCCCTCTTCTCTTTTCCTCCCCGCTTTTTTATTCAGTCTAGCCTCCACACTCCTCGCATCTTCCAGTCTCCTCTCCAGGGTCTCTCTCTTTCTCCCTTTCTCTCCCCCTTTTCCCCTTCCCTCCCAGGTCTCCTGCTCTCTCCTCCCTCCCCTCCCCCATCCCCTCTCTTTTTCTCCTTCCCTCTCTCCCTCCCTCCCCCTCGCTGCTCAGAGCCAGGTCTGGAGCTGGGAGTGGAGTGGGGGTGGGTCGAGAAGGGGCCCTGGGCCGGGGTAGCGACCTGCTGAGGAGGGGGGAGGAGAGGCGGGAAGGGGGCGGAGAAGCAAAGCGGGAGGCGGGGGCCTGAGACGGGTCTTCGGCCCCAGCTCAAGTCTTCCTTTCCCTCCTTCCCAACCTCCCAGACCCTCAGGCGGGGCGAGAGTCAGGCCAAGGTGGGGAGGAAGGGGAAGGGAGGAGGCTTCCCCCCCCAACCAACCTGGCCCAGAGCCCAGGCCTGGGTTCCCAGCATGCCCCGGGGCTGCCTGGGGCCTGAGGAGGGGGGTGAGGAAAGCGGGGAAACGAGAATCTTAAAGATTCTCCAGACCAGAGCATCTCTCCCACACCCAGTAAGTTTCTCCTCAAAGGGGAAACTGAGGCTCAGAGAGAAGGTTCCAGGCTGGTTCAAGGTCACTGCCCCAGGCATGGGTGCATCTCCCTTGGGTTCACAGGCTTGCTTTGGGGAAGAGGTAGGCACTGGACTTTCCCCTGGGCCTGGGTCCCCTCCCCCTCTTTGCAGACCCTAGGGAGCCCCCAAGGGTCAGAGAGCAGACCCAAACAGTCTGGCACCATAGCAACCACTGGCCCCGCCCCCTTAACCCCCGGAGTGCTGGACTCCAGCTGGGGCTAAGAAGGGGTGGGGAAACTCGTGGTTCCTGGTAAGGAGCCCCCCACCTATCCCCCAGTCCTGGCAGCTAAGAAGAAAAATGCTTGGGGCTCTGACTCTCAGGTTCTAAAGGAGGAGGGAATGGGAGGGTGGCCTATGCTTCTGGGCAGGAGGTGGTGGCCGGTCTCGGGTCAGAGCCAAGAAGCAGCTGGGTGGCCCAGGCTCCTGGGTCCTGGGCACACCTCAGCTAGAGCTTCGGATTGTGGAATTTTGGTAAGCGGCTGAAGGTGGACTCTGAGGGAGGAGGGGGCCGAGGCCTGGAATCCCGAGTCCCCAGAGGAACCTGGACGCTGGGCCTCTCCACTACCAGACATCCCCTGCCCCGGGCTCTGACCCGGGCCCGTCTGGCAGCCCAGACAACCTCCCCCTCCTCCTGACACCCTCCCACTCATACGGCTCACCCTTGACCCCGCAAAGCCCCGCAGCCCCATCTCTGCCCCTCCCCCTCCCTTCCAGCCAGACGTTAACCCTTGGGCCGCCGGAGGCACTTCCAAAGCCAGACAGTCTTCCTCCACCTCCTTGCGGTCTCTGGCATCTGGTCCCCAGTCCCTTACACTCTGGGATCCTACATCCTTCCTTTAGAATCTCAGATCCTCCCAGCTTCTGTAACCCAGGGACCCCTGAATCTAGACCTCCAGCCCCCTCCATCAAAGATTGAGGAGTCCCGACACCCAGCTCACCACCACCACCACCACCCCCAACCACAACCGCCACCACCACTTCTCCGCCATCCAAGTGAGAACCCAGAAATCCAGGCCCAGGCTGGCTGCCTCCTCCCTTGGGGACCCTGGAGTCCGGCCCAGGTCCCATCCCCCTCCGGTTCCGCAGACTCACCGCTCCGCCGCTCCAGCGTCGCGGGGACCCAGTGTCCTCCTCCAGCCCCAGCCCCAGGTTCTCCATCCTCTCCCTCCTCTGCCGCCCGCGGCCTCTCTCCTTCCTCCCGCCAGCCCCGCCATCCTCCGCCCCCGGTAGCCTGCTGCCTCCGGCCGGTGTCTCCTCCCGGCACTGCGCGCCGGGGCTCCTCCACCCCAGACCCCGCGGGCAGCGTGGCCTCGGACCGGCCCCCTCCCCGGGGGGCCCCTGCCCAGCCCCTCCCCACCGCCCAACCCAGTCCGGCCAGGCTTCCCCCCCACCCCCCTGCCCCGAAGCTGGCCCGCGTCCAGGGGAAAAAATTCCATCCAGCCCTAGGGAGGAGGAGCAGGGCGGAGGAGGGAGCGGGAGGGGAGGCCGGGCTAGGGGAGCATGACGCAGGGAGAAGGGAAGGGACAAAAGAGAGGCCGGGAGGCAGTGGAGGCAGGCTCCCTCCCTCCCTCCCTCCTCCTTGGCTAGGGCCCGCTCAGTCTCTGCGGCTTTCTACCCTTCGGTTCCCTCCATCTCACCTCCCTTCCCGGCTCTCGGCCTCCTCCCTCTTTTCCCTCCCCCATGTCATTCTTTTCTCTGGCCTCCCTTCTTTCTATCTGACCTCCCTTTCTGCCTTTCCCAGTCTCTGCATCTTCACCTTTTTCTTTCTTTCTTTTTTTTTTTTTTTTTTTTTGCTAGCGACTAGTCTTGCATTTTCTGTTTTTATCCTTTTTCTGGCTGGATGTTTTCTCTTTCGTCTCTTTCTCAGAGCACCTTCCTCAACCAGGGGCTGCATTCCCACCCACCCCTTTCGGCTCTCCCAGTCCTCCGCCCCCCTTCTCCTGCGCTGTTTCTCCCCTCCCCGGCACTGGTACTCAAAAGGTGAATTAGACCCCCATATCTACCCTGGCACACTGAGCTCACGGACTGATGAAGGAATCAGACCCAGCCGCAGAATGTCCCGTTCCAGGGTGAAGGAGTGTGACGGGGGTGGGGGTGTCGAGACCAGAGACTCAAGAGATAGGGG